TATTTGTGTCGCCATGTTTGACTAGAAAAATGTACAAATTTAGGATTGTACAGCTTCGGGATTGAAATCGCTGAACAGAGACTCTTCGTTAAAATGATTTCATCAAACTGGCTTAAACACAGAACAGTTGCATGAAATATACAAAGAACTTTGACAAATAAATGACAACTATTCGTATTAGTCAGGTAATTTAAGCACAAGTACTTTTTTTCCCTTGTAACCACTGGAATCACAAGAATAGTGCAAAGCAAAAGGATGAACTATTCCAGCTATCCTAGTTCTATTAATATAAGTGAAAAACTTGGGCACTGTGGTAGAATGTAGTTCCATATTAGATTTGTTTATTTGATATAAAGCGCACAGTGATACAGTATTATTTACTTGATTACGTTTCGAGCATAAATTATTGCTCATAATCATATCATATGATTATGAGCAATAATTTATGCTCGAAACGTAATCAAGTAAATAATACTGTATCACTGTGCGCTTTATATCAAATAAACAAATCTAATATGGAACTATATCCTAGTTCTAACTGGCTACTTGAGTGGACCAGAATTACTTACAGCAAGTGTTAGGAACTATTTGCCTACTAGATGACGTCGAACAGAGTTAGCATATCTCAAATACTTATCGAATCCCATCAATCTTATTAGTGTGTTAACTAAGTCAAGTCATTTGACACGGTGCTCGGTATTAGATATTAAGGTGGGAATGAGAAATCAGTGGAAGAGAATTTCGTTATTGTTGGCACTCAAAAGACGTCTGTAACCCTGAGGAAACATATGCCCCTTGGATATCTGGAGCTTCGGGATACGAACTCATGCTGAATTAAGAGGTTAATCACTATGACAGTGTTTCTATTTTCAACAATAAGTGATGCACAGTAGAGTCATTAGTAATAAGTGAACGTCTTCAACGTTTAAGCTACAGTTTGGTCAGTGCCAAGAAGTAATGAACCTATGCTAATAGCTTAATATATGATGACTCCCAATATCTAAAACCAGCCGACGTGAGTGATAGTAATACGCATAGTTCAAGATCAAAGTCACACAAGTGGTTGAATCATGTTTGCACACGACACCATAGTTTCCTCTGAAAATAAAACTATTTGAACCGCTTCTTATCACTAATTCCCTCAAGAATGCAAGTACAAAAACAGTCGCAAGTAATGTAAGGCAAATCACGTTTCACTTTCATAAGGATAGTGGGTCAACTGACTTATATTAATCCTTGAAAAAGGGCTGTAGAGAACCGATCTAGCCTTGAAGGTGTTATTGGAAAAAGCAGAAACAACGTGTTACTGATAAGGCAAGTTGGACAAGTCACTGACTATTTCAGTATTTACCCTTTGAAACAGTTATAAAACAAAAGCTTCAACTTAAACGAAAGCTGGCTACTTGAATCTCATATTTTAAATGAGGGTTCACATGTGTTAGGTATAATATCCGAAACTCATCCTCATCAAGGTGCTGAAACGCCCTGCAAAAGCAGCGTAAGATGTGGGGAGTTGGATCAGGTGATACTTTGTATTGTACTGTGATTCTGAGGTTATGGCTTACAATAGCTCTTGAATTCTTATAATCAGAAAAGCTGCGTAGCATATTAATCATAAGGATCGTCATGACTGGTATATATAAACAAACTTTTATTTGTTCTGACCTCCAGCAGTGATCTAATGGATCACTTAACCATGGATAGCATGATGTCAGCTTTGCAAAAATCCATGCAGAAACTTGCAAAATATGCCTAACCTAGTTGTGCAAATACTGGTCTTAAGCTTCGGTTCTTACAACTACTATGATGCTTTGCAAAGGATAATTGAGTATTTCTTATGATCATAGGACATCTAGATTTTGAGTGTCATCAGACTGCTGCCAGGCATTAAACACTAAAAGATACCTAGTAGGCCACTGAACTTATCATCGCTTAATTTTGAAGTAAATATCAGTCAAAACAATTATCAGCAACTTGTTCTACAAGGATTTTCTTATTACCTTATAAACTTTATTGATTTCACAACCTTGTCTCTCTTTATACCTGTTTCCTACCAAAGTAAATACTGGCAAGAGTTTAATCTATTATCAACCTTTAATTCATATGTTCTTACTTTTTGTGCAAGTGATATGGTTAGGGATAATCTATTTATTTGCTAAATATTTGAAATACATTAAGATTACTAATATTTTTGCATGAAGAAATCAAGTAGATTTAAGTGGCTAAATACTCTCAGTAATTACAGTAACCCTTCTCCTTTTTCTATTTCATATCCATGTGGAATATATTTCTCTTTATTGCATCAAAAGTTACTTCTGTATAACTTTTGAAATTATTTCCAATGACCATTAGATGTTAGACTTTAAATTCTCACAAAAGCTGGTCAGTAAAACAGCTGTTACTCAGTAGTAGTCTACAGTTCAGCTGAAGTATAATCATTATCTAAAAATATTAAAAGAACTAGGATGTTGAAGAAACCGAAGGGAGTGGATTTTCCTGAGGTATACTTGTCCATCAAATAAAACCTGATGATATTCCTAAATAACCTAAGTGACAAACAAAACTCCAGTTAAGATTAAAAGTAATGTCAACCGATCAGCTAACAACCATCTCTCATAGCCCAATAAAAAAAAGAAAACAAAATTGCATTCATTTATAACAAATAGTATTGGTTGCACAATTGATTCAGTGAATAATAGATGTTTGAAGTTATGCAACCAAGTTTGAAGCAGTTACACATTCTGGCACATCAAATTCCTAAACTTGACAGTCATTAAAAACTATTTTATCAAGTTAAGAGAGTGTGTAATTTATGGAACCAATTGGGAAATATAACTATCAAACTAACGATTTTTTTCCACCAGTTCGTTATTTATTAAGGAAAAAAATTTTTTGGAACAAAACAGCACCTGTAAACTATTGACTGTTTAAAAATGTAAATAATATTTTCAGCACAAACTATTGTACTTTCTACCTCCTTTTGAATTATGAACTGATAAAAATAGATGAGTGGATTTTATTTTGATTTATTGGCTATTTTCACCCAAAAAATGTTGCATTAACCTCGTAAATACACCCTTTTTGTTGATGTACTTGTAATTCTGCGTTTTCCTGGATCGCATTGTTCGATTTCTGTTGGCATATGGACTCCCATGCAAATGTCTCGATATTGCTGAGATATTTATTACTGTAATTTACTTGGATGTGGCTAGTAGAATAATCTAGATAGCTCGTTTCGTCCTATTTGGGACTAATCAGCCGGATGTACTTGCACCCCAGTGAGTGGTGTTATTCCCACTGCGACTTGAGCCTCGTACCCACCGTTTCAAATGCCACAGCGTTATCCAGAAGGCTATTAAGGCACGATAGCCACCAAGTAAATTACCGTAATAAATATCTCGGCAATACTGAGGCATCCGAACAGAAGCCTATATGACAAATAGAGATCGAACAGTTCGATCCAGCAAAACAACGGAGAATTACAAGTACAATAAAAAGTCGTAACTAATACCTATTGTACAAGAGGTGGCTATCATGCCTCAGTGGACTAGTGGATAACCCTATGGCGTTCGAAACGATGAGTACGAGGCTCGAGTCTCAGTGAAAACAACACCACTCAAAAGGGTGCAGTTTCATCCAGCTGATGAGTCCCAAATAGGACGAGATGCGCACCCTGGATTCTTCTGCTAGCCACAATCAAGCAAATTACTCGTAAATATACGTTGTAATAATTCCAACATGTACTCAGGATAAAGAAATTAGTCAGTAGAAAATATCTGTAATACATTAAAATGACTGATGTTTGTCTATTTTGCTAGTTATAAGTGACTTTTAATCGTACTAAGTATTTAAATTTATTTCTCATGCCTTCTGGCAAAAAGCAATAGGATGTATATGAGACCTTGGGATGACTGCTGTCTTCAAGAACCAAAACAAAGTGATGCACTTCCGTGCCTAGAACTTCTAGAAGGGTGTTTAAATTATAGTGGATACCTAGAAAATCTATATCGCTGAGTAATTGTCAGATAGAAGCAGTTTAGTCAATACAAGTATATCTTTACCTATTAGTTACACTGATGAACTGAACGCTTGAGTCTACAATGTTATCCTTAAATGTTTGGGAAAATACAGAACTTGCTATATTTTCTGCAGTGTTGTGCACGTACTACTTTGAACTTCGAACCTCACTCTTCACCATTGTATATTTTCACTAGATATATAAATTACAGTTTAGGATAATGTCAATATTCATCTTGTTCGCACTCCACAACTAGGTTGATAATTGAAAATCCGATAAGCCAGTAATGAAACATTATTTAACTGCCAATGAGATAATTTTATATTTTATTCGAAGGAGTTGAATCACATTAATTACCTGCAGATAAATTCCCAGTCGGTAGGTATTTATACAGTCTTATAGTGTTTCCCTGAAGAAAAGCTTCCAGACCGAACCGTGGAATCACTTTGTTTTAAAAACATTGAGATTTACAGAAATATAGTATACAACCAAAGTGAACTTAGACTGGGTTAGACGGAATAATCAGAGCACAGAAAATGAGAGTCAAAAAGAAATACAAGACATGAAATAACTTCAGTCGGTTAACTTTCAGGCACTGTCATCAAAGCTGAACAGGACTGACAATTGTATTTTTTTCTGTGGATTAGTTTTAGGCCTCCTAATGATGATGGTACCAGTTTGGTTTCTACCTATACGCCAGTGATGTAACCACCTTTTTTGGATAGGTAAATATTTTCTTCACAAAATTTGCCTTGTCTTGATCTCTCTTTTTTAGTTGAAAAAATTTTAAATCTCATGGTGGTTTACTAATAGGTTAGTTGCATGTTTTTTTCATTCCGCATTGCAGAGCTGTAGATGAAATAAATCGATAACTGTGACATATTGAACTTAAAGATCCACGGGAGAAGTAAATACGTGGTAGTTTTGTCCACAATGAACAACTGGAGATTATGTACTGAGTTAGAAAACAAAAATAAGACGTAATCCAATATTAAATCAATGTTTGGATAAATTTGATTACTATTTAAAGGGAAAACAATAAAAGAATAATTACTGAAAATTAATGCACATTAATATATACTTCTTTGTTTAATTTGTTTAAAACAACCAATTCGGTATACGTAGATATCTGACGTAACCAATATTTCAATATTAACAAGGAAAAGGTTAACAGCAGTTGGCATACGCTTTAAAGATATATATATATATATATATATATATATATATATATATATATATATATATATATATATATTATTTTTGATCTTTGATTTGAGTTACATGTATTACATAGAAATAAAGAAGTTAGTAATGTATATATATTTTTGTTGAAATGGTTTTCAGGAAGCAGCCGAAACTGTCATGTGGTATAAATTGACCGCTTCTGAAAAGTAGCCATGGAAAGATGGATAGCGGCTATATTCCTTTTTCTGCATCGAACGAACTGCCATGTGAGGTAAACTCACTTAATGACTACTTTCCTGGAAATTGATCAGTACTGTTTTTCTCACAGTCATCTTGAAGTATACGATGATAACCTTCTGTAGAGATGGCATCTAAGTCATCAAAATTATTCGTCTCCCAATAGATTAACTTTTCCGCACCTGAAAAAAGTAATCAAAGTAAGAATTTTCAACAAATTTTACATCAAGATTTCTTTACATCAGTAACGCAATTATACCAATTTAATATTTGATTTTAAGGCGCTATACCGCTAATGTATTCCAGAGAAAATTGTAATACGCTTAAATATATTTATAATTTTCTGAATGTGCCAAATTGTCAGGAAGATTACTGCTCAGGTTCATACCGACAGCTAAATAGATGATTCCAAATGGCATAAATGATAGCTTCTGTGAGTTCATATAACACTACACTGTTTCGAAATCCTCGAACTTGTGTACATTTGAGGGTTAAAACTTATCTTCTCAAAAAAATTTGTTAAGCCTTTCGAATGATCTGAAATTATCTTACATAACTAACAAGAAGATAATTACATGATATCTTATTTTGGATCATAATTTCTTAACATTTTAAATAGGCAGTCAGCCTTTACATCCTGGCACTCAGAACTATTAAACTGTAAACCTTAAGTTCAGAATCTTGCATAAGCCTTCAGTTTATTAGGATTGAAAATCATAAACAATGTTATATGGAAAGTAGATTGTACACTAACAAATAACAGGTTAGTGATTACAGAATTTCACCTAAGATCTATTGGGACTTCCAGGATGAAGATTGAATGGATTACCTCATCTCATACGTATCACCCTTCGAGAATTTAATCGTAGCGAATCAACTTAACTGCCAAGCCATGATAAAAAGTTACGTCTATGGTTCTTTAATTTAGAATTCTAACCGATGGTGTGGTCAAAAGTAGTGATTTTGGTAAATAAATAAAAAACTACTCGGACACTGAAGCAGATTGTGATTCCACTTAAAATGCATTTACCACACTACAACATATAAAAAATCAGGCTATAATATATTAGTTAATATCAGATAGCACAAATCCTTTAGGATATAAGTCATGAAAAGTATTACAAATGTGCATTCAATTCAATTCAGTATCAATTGTACTAACGTATATTTTTACAAACGCACAATCAAAAAACTTGATTGTTTCTAGAATAACACGCTGATTTGCATATTCCCCCAACTAGATAAGAACGACATTAAGAAAGCAATAGTTGCTACACTCGTTTAGGGAGGAGTTTTCTAACAGCGTACTCGGACAAATTCATATCACAGAACAGCAGTGTCAGCAATAACTGGACCTAGCCAACCTATGTGAATGGACTGTTGTACCATAAAATGGATGAAAACTTTTCAAATGATTTACGAGTAGTTCAGTTCATGTAATTTCTTATAGTTGATTGTTTTTTCAACTGCCTAACCGTGGTGACAATAAGATTTTCACTATAGAAACTAATCACGGTAATGTAATTATAGGTCTTGCTAAATATATGGTTAGTTAATAGCCGACAAGAAGATTAAAGGCTGATAGGTTCACAAACATTTGCAGTGTGTGCCCTTATCTGTAGCTCAGTCTGCATGATTAGACACACTTACATGAATAAAACAGGAGTTTAAATATTGGTTCAAGACGCTTCATTTACAATAATGATGTAAAATGACAGTGAAAAACGGAAAAACAGCAACATTGGTATCGTGAATGGTTGAGAATGGTTATTACGTCATGAAAAGAAATTGCTATTGGGAAAAATATGAATAGCAAATTTTGTAGGAACTTTGAGGAAGATAAAGCGTGGTTACACATTCATTTGAAGGCGAAAGATTTTGTGAAGTATTAAGTGAATTCATGGCTTCTTGATACCTACTGTAACATGAAATCAAATCCTACTGAAGTTGGGGATACTCAGTCCTCAGAAGGCATGTCGATACCTTGCAGGTGATAAAATTAAATGGTGGAATTTCGTCAATCAACTGAAGTTGCAATAGTAGGCATCGATATAAACAAATCTTCAAGCAACAGCTGGCATTTTGGAAATGACAAATGTATGTCAAATGTTACAATACTGCCATTCAAAGAGCCTCGCGTTTTGTAAGTTATGCTAACTAAACACGGCTGGGTTGTCTATGATACTGTTATAACCATAGATACCAGAATACCAAAAATATGAGGTATCAACTATTGAAAACTTGGCATAAAATGTACGTCAAGGAGCAAATCTAAGGTGAGTATGGACAAAATTAGCGAAAACAAAGCAAAAATAAATATAGTTCAGTATGAGTTACGACACCACCAGTTAAGGAAGGCTGCTTCACTAGTGTAATAGAGTTGAGTAGCTCTTTCAGCGCAAACTAATCACAAGAAATTTCGATTCACTCGGTTAGATGATAAGATGTATCACTATTGCAGAGCTTTTTCCTAAAAAGTCAATAGTGAACCCAATAAAACAAAGAAATCTCTTAAAGTATAGTTATTACGCAACTTAGCGTACAAATTAACAGAAATCTCGGAGTACAACATAAAAAGTGTTTAGGAAATTTATCAAACTTACCAACGGATCGAAATCGCTTCTTTTTATGACGAAATATTCTGAAAAGGCTTAAATTAGAAGCATCTGAACGACGTGGCTGACTTAATGCCATAAACGTGCCAGGACTATCTGTAAATAAAAGACAAAATGTAAGTTTAAAAATTAGCATTTCGAATGCTAACAATGAGAATATAACCAATTGGAAATATTATCAACAGATACTAACAACTTTGGATACCACAGAGTGTTATAAGATATAACGAAAAAATAGGTAGATTATTTCCCGTGTGTTACAGCATTATTTTCATAGGTATTAACCCATTTTGAAGTCATGGAGCTTTTTCACCGTAATTCTGACAGTTTGACCAAAGTAAGTATGGGAAAGTTTGTAAAATGAAGAAAAAGAGACTATATTGAACTAACTTTTATTCAGTAAGGCATATGTTAACATGGATAGACTGTTGAAGAGAGTTTAGCTTATTAATATATTCTCTATGGAATGACCACGGTAGTGTAAGCATGAGTAAATGACATTTTGTCACCGACAGTTTACACAAACTTGTTAAAGCATTACATAACCTAGATAACACAAACTGTGTCAGATTAGACAAACGACAGGGTAAAAACCCCTTTGCAGGAAATGCCTTGATTAGGTTAAAATATGAGTATGAATGCCAATCAAAACAAGAGGTGATCTTTACCTACTTGTGAATTGTTCAGTTTTGTCTTCACTGAATAAGGTCTGAAACACCTTATTTAACTTGAATCAAATCCATTGACATCACAAATATATTATTCATAATTTTTTCCCCACTTTATTTTATTATTTGTCCCTTGAGTTCCTAGTGGAACATAGGGCTTCAGTAGCACGTCTCCATTCCACTCTGTTCACTGCAGTCTTTTGAACCTGGCTCCACAACTGCCCAGTAGCTCTCATTTCTTCCTCACACGATCTCCTCCATGTCACCCCCCGACGCCCAACTCGCCATTTTTCGTCTGGGTTCCACTCGAGGGCCTGGCGCGTGATGTCCCCGAATGTTCTCCACTTCAAATCACCAGTTATTATCGCAAAAGTATAATCTCGCATACTCATTCCTTTCAAGAAACACTTAATTTTCGATCATACACTGGCCCAATCTTGGGAGCAAACTATTATTTCTTAGGTTGACAGGGTATTAAAATTTTACCATCAAATATAAGTATGTACATAGTTGGAACGAAGAAAAGTAAATAGCATAAATTCATCGTACAGTTCAAAGCTAATAAGTATTTTATTTATATTTTTGAAAGAAAACATTTAGTAGATGAAAGGCAAGAGGAAAGTAAAAACGTCTACTTTAAATGTATATGCTTAAGTAATAAATTCTTTTTTACGATATGACGAATATATTGCTCAATAAGGAATACAGAAAATTAATTTTTGAAAGCCTTACCAGTAGCAATATAAGCAGGTGGTGGTACAAAATGTACAGGTGGGCCGAAAGACGATGTACTGAGGGGTTGCACAGAAGGAGGATCATCGGATATTTCTACTTTACTGTCTCTTCGGGACGATAAATCTGAAAGGACTGCAGAACCAGAAAAGTGCGCAGAATCTGAATCAACGGTTAACTGAGGTTGCCAATTACCAGTCGCTCCAACAACAGCCATAGCAGAGGCAAGAGCAGCTGCAGTAGGTGCTGCTGCAGAATCTGAAGCCAGCGAACTTAAACCTGCCACAACACCAGCAAGTTGACGTGAAGGACCAAGTAGGGCCAAAGAGCTGACATTGCTACAACTGCCTATCGGTTCATCCATTGCTCCACGCTTTCCAGAACGCAGGACGCCTGAACTTAAAATACGAGTTGACTTTAAGCGACTGGCAAGCGAATGAGCTCTTGATGTTACAGCTGGGCTACCTAAGCTTACTGGAGAATCGACTCTTTGCAAATCACTCAACAGATCTAAGTTATTCGTAGAATTTGTTGCGGTAGAACCTAGTAGGGCTGAGCGCTTTCGTAAACCATCATTTTCTTTTGAATCTATCAAATAATTATTTTGAAAATAGAAAGAAACGTTGTTTTAGTATACACTTGATAAAGAAATACAGAACGCTTTATCATGATTAATAAGGCAACATTGATGAGATTTATTTCTCAGTCTTTAGAAAACAAAAAGAACAAAGAAGCTTAGGACATCAACGCAATGTGTTCAAGGAATACTTTTACGCTTACACAGGTGAAGTATTCTATACAAACTGGGATCAAGTGTATGGCACCTAATATGATGCACAATGATGCTAGTTCACCTGATAATAAAGTTAATCCGACTCAAAAATATGCAGCTCCATTTGTAAGGTGATGAATTTATACATAGTGATACTATATAAAGGCCTACCGCTTCCGTAAGTGAGGCAAGATTAAAAATTGCTACCCACTAGTTAAAAGATAAATATCTAATCAAATGAGCCACAGCTCTATCCTCAACATGAGAGTCTGGGAATAAAGTGATCTAGATTTGGACTGCAGTGAACCAAAACTTTGAGAAAGAGAACAGAATGTACACTCTGAGAATACACATTTTAATAAAGCATAATTATACATGTATCACAATCAGTTGCTTACCTGTTTTACTTCCAAATAGTATTGTGGGATCATCTGAAGTAGTGCCCTAAAACAAAATAGTGGAGGATAAAGTTTTGTTTCATGACACATGACGAATTTATACGTATTACAAACAAAAGCGCACTGTGTAAACCTGTATGTACGATGCTCCTAAACAATAACAGCTGCTTGGATAATTTTGTGGCTGAAATAATACGTTGTATTTTTATAGTTTGTTTCAGCAATTGCCTTGAAGTAAACTAATCAGATTTACGTATAACACATTGCAAAAGTGAGTTAAAGACTAATTTGAAACGCCGAAACAAAGTTTTCAAGTCGTGAAAATAGAAAACATTTTCTAACAACCATTATTTTTGAAGTCATAGTTCCAAAAATATACATTACGAATAGAAATCGTTGGGAAAATAATGGTTGACAAATGTTTTGGAGTTTTACGGTCAAAAACGCCGATATCAAAAGATTCCTTCCTAAGAACCTTGGCTAAAAATGATAGAGTTTTGAACAAGAACTTTGAGGTATTTTGCCCACAACCTTGCTTCTGGTAATAAGAATGGAGACTGCTACAACTAATGATCACGGTAACATTTATTCGCTTTTTTACATTCTAAATAAACGTATCCTAACAAGGTGACCACATTTTATTCTTACGCGATGGTGGTCAGGGCTTCCTAATGTGTACCCATTGTACTCAATAAATATATAATAAATAAATGCTGTAAAGGACTTTAACAAGGGCATGAGATACGATTGGAAAACATTTAGTCGGTTACCTTGGAGTGCTTATACATGACCATCTTCGAAGGTCAATTTTTAGAAATCGTAAAATCAGCAGCACCTGGTTTTGGACACAGCATTGTAACCTTAACTTCAGTCAAAAGTGATGTTGAATAGATCATACAAACAGATGGTTAAATTATAACACGGTATTAGTGAGCGACAGACGCGCCCACTTAACTAGACTACGTTGGTTTAGTAAGAGTCAAGCAACATACAGACCTGATTCATTAGGTCCCGAAGACCATTTATTATGTTATGTTGATTTCAAGGGTAATGTAAAAGCAAATAATTCCTGAGTGTGCCAAGGACAAGCTATTGATTTAGCTTACTTCAGTGAGTGTCTACAACTTTACTTGTTTTTATAAGGTTACTTCTATTGGTCGCATAAAATATTCACTTTCCAAACACATACCACAGAGTTACCCTACATCACTGCCGGGAGTAGAATGTAAATTTATTGGTATTCCAATTCTCTAACATCTAGGCAATAATGGCTACATAGCTCCATTAAAGACTGACTACGAGATTATCCATACAGTTCAACCAAATTCTTCAAACGAAATATGATTTTGCAGCTTATATATAAAAGAGGCCTTGGCACTTGATCAAATGAAGGCGAATCTCTGTGCAGCAAAAAGTATGTTCAATCTCTCATTTTCCTTTCACTTTAATCGACCTTTGCTGTTCTAATCGGCGATAATTAATCACTTCACTATTATGAGCTTCATTTTTGACCCTTCCTTCCCCTTTTACCTTCTTTATATTTATCAAGTGAACTCTCAGTTATCCTACTTCACACTAATAAACAATTTCCACTTTGTAAAACTCTATATCTTTCTTGTCGCTTCCACTATCTTTTGCGTCATTACATAATCTCTGCCCATATGTAGAAACTCAGCTGAATAATATGCTACTGAATCAACGCTACACTAATAGACAATAATAGTCTGTTAAATGTTTGTTATAGGTATAAATACGATAGTACGTTTTCAGAAAAAGGTTTCATTCGCTGGTTTCCCATTTGTTCGCTTTATAACTTGGTGGCATATTTTGTTGTCCAATAAGAAATTTCCTTAATACTTTATAGGAATATAAACACTAGCGCTTGAAGTATTGTCAGTCATGGTTTGTGGGAATTTTCGGTGATCGCTTGTAATTTTAAAAGGAAAATGTCTCTAGTTCAGGTGAATATAGTTTGTTGCTTCTTGAATTTCTTTTGTCTAGATAATCTAGCTACCGATTTACGCAGAAATTAAATATTCCTGAAATATTAGAAGATATCATACGTCGCAACTTCCTGTAGATTTAGATTATGCATAAAAATCGATCACTAGGTGTTACCTAGATTGAAAACTATAATCAATGATGTTTTATATCCTTCTAACATACCCCTATGCAAATGAACAAAAGCAAACCGAAAACTAATCTGAAATGGCTAATATGAAAAAAATGTCAACCGTTAAGTTGTGTACCAACTAATATCTTTGCACAATATATGCTAGAATTATTATCAAAATGGTTAGGGTATCCTTTGGCAAATCAGTTTTAGCAAACTCGTTCATCAGTGTGCGATGTTGCTGTTATTGTTATTTAACATCTGTATGTATTACGTTGTTGAAAAATCCTTAACTAGCAAAGATCAATAGTATAAGTTTAGGGAATCGAATATGCACATACTGCATGCACACACAAAAAGCCTGCATGCCGGAGGAGAAGGGAAAGGACTGTTAAATGGACATTCTATGTGCATACAATCTAAAAGAAGGTAAATCAAACAGTATGTAAGTCATGTTACAACATGCAAATATACATTAGCTTGAACATAAAATCATGTTTGTGTAAGATCGTTAGACACACATATATCTGTGTGTCAGTGATTACCCCATAAGATGAAAATAAAGTAGGTCGAATTCAAAAAATCGATATTATTCGTCAAGACAAACAGTAATTCTAGTCTTCTTATCTCCTGCCTACAGTTAGAACGGAACACGGAACCAAGCAAGAAAATAAGGAGAATAGGAAGAGAAGATAAAAAGTATTAATTACCACCACCTTGTAAGATAAGAACGCACACAGTGGATTTGATAGACTGTGGAGAAGTAGAACTTTGACAAAAAAGAACTATGAAGGCAAACACAATAAATACTTATGCAAAAAGCCAAGGAAATTCCACAACACAAAGGATCGTATATTTATGTAGAAAAGCGAGAGAAAAATGCGTTGAAAAAATAAAAGAAATATAACGACACTCGTAGCATGTGTTACTTATCATCAAATATAATTTTGAGTCATAACAGTACATGTACAATTTTAAAGCTTTCACATATATATCCCAATAAAACATTTTCTTTAATAAACCAGAGAATCAGGTATTCGGCGTCATATAAGTGGTATCTTAAGGAGTTCCTACCAGAGCTATCAAGTAATTCCTTAACGTAAAATCAAAGTAGCATCAAACAACACAAAAGTCTTTTCCTGCTACAAAGTATTAGTGCGATGCGTAGTCTAGTGGTTATATCAAAGTTGACTAGCTCCAGCTCCAGGTGGCTCTGAAAATGATCGACAAATGAAGCAAGTTTTAAACTGATGACGAACTAAACCAACCGTGAGTTCGTCAATAAATTGATCGTAACTATAGTTCACAAGTTGTAGTAACAAACGGATGGAATCTGCAACTAATATCGATTCTGGTTTAAATAATTTAGACTGTCTAAGCACAGTGATACACCAGTTCAAATTTCGCAGAACTCTATGTATGCATCAGATAGCGGTTCATTTTTTACGATGCAGTATCTGAAAGGTGCAGACGCTTCACTTTATCCTTATGGGAATTACTTTCATCTGTAGTGTTGATGTAACCTTGGTGTTATAGCTTGTGCATCTCGGTCATTGATTGGACCGAAATGATCGGCCACCATTGGCATACGGGCTACTGTGGACTTCCGGTATCTGGCACGTTGCCATGTACGCTTTGTACAGAGTTACTAACATTAATAGTCATTACCCCGTGCAAACAAAGTGAGTAATTTTAATTAATTCCTTCATTTACTATAATATTTTTATATTTATTTGAACGAAATAATGACCACTAATGTCAGTCACGCCATATTCAGCTTAAATGACAATATGCCGGATACAGGTAACCGCTACTGTGCGGATGCCTCGATATTGCCAGTATTTTTAAGTGTGATATTATTGATGGATAGTGGCTAGCAGTGGAACCTAGGACGCATGTCTTATCTTATTTGGGACTCATCAGCTAAACGTACCTGCCTCTCACAGGATGTTGTTCCCTCTAAGGCTCAAACCCAGGACCAATTACTTCAAATACCCCAGTGTTGTCCACTAGGTCACTGAGTCATGATAGCCACTCTGTGTTATACCATGTTATACCCATCGTACAGGGCTATAGTGATTCAGTGACCTAGTGGACAACGCTTTGGCGTTCGAAGTGACTGATCCTTGATTCAAGTTTTAGTGGGGACAGCATCCATTGAGAGGCACGTACATCCAGTTCACGAGTTCCAAATAGGATAAGATGCGCATCGTAGATTCCACTGCTAACCACTATTTATCAACAATATCATAACCTTGGTACCTTTAATCCTTAACGATCATGACTTTTCAATAAAAATTATTTTCTCTCAAATTATGTACTAGGCTATTCGTAAAGTGAGTACTAGTTATCTTGTTAAAATGTCCATAGCTATCAAAACTCAGATAATTCCGTACGTTTTCATTCTATTCAAGGTGTTGGAGGTTATGATGAACTTTTCGAAATGATAAGCTAACGTACTTGTTCAGACGTAATTCTTACAAGTTTGTTTGATTTCCATCACAGAATTTCTTTCCAGATGAATTTATGAGGAGTGATCATTCATGTTTTCCCTACACTACATTCTTTGATAATAATTCATTCTGTAAAGAAAATGATCAACTTAATCATAGATCATTTGGTTGACTGACCTCTAACAAACCTGTTCTATGGATGTTTTTTTTGAAAAGTTCACCTTTACAGATTATATACTTGTCAATATTAAGCTGTATAAGCGAGATTTATACCTACGTCTAACAAAAATGGTTTATGCTTATCCATTGATAAATATCTGTACACATCACAAAAAGCTGTTACGGTGCTCATGCTAATCTGGAAAGATAAAATAAACCTTCAGCACTTCAAGCTGTGTACCGATTGAAATGTTTCATGGAGGAAATACACGAGTAATTCGGAAAGGTTGAATGTACATAAATGCTCAACGTGCGCAAAGGCAAAAATTTCAGTTTATACAATTAAGCGTCTGCTAGAGTGCGACACAATATTGTTCCCATCAAGTCTTTGACAGTTATCAGTAAACGAAAAAGGAGGAAGTGCTTGTACGTGTTTTTTTCCTACATTATAACTATTGTTATTATTAACTCGCATTGCTACAATCTCTTAACGGTACGCTGTTACCAATTGTTCTCTTCGCAATAACGTAAATCGGCCTTTACCTGCTCGATACCCAAAACCAACTTTCTCACATTTTCCAACTTGAATTTTGTATCTTTTTTCCTATACCTTAGACACTGTCTTAATCAAAATCATTTTTGTATCTACCCCTGTTACATATAAAATACAGTTGAAAATATACTGTATTCAGCTGATTTCTATCATAATCCATCAATTTGTCAGATATTGCTCCTGCTTTCCTGACTATCATCACACCTGAGGAGACTCAAAGTTGCGACGAAAACTAGTTTTAGTTTTTTCCTACATTAAAATTTTAGGTTTTTGAACACTTTATGCATTATGATCGTTGTTTCGTTTGTCCACAATCTTTTAAGGCTGTTTCCCCTCTATTACGCATCACTTTTAACACACGTCCAGGTTTTAGAAAAGGTTAAAAACATAAATACACAAGTGTCCAGAATTACAACGATGCTTCGGTGTGCTCTTAGCCTCAGTGTTTTGTTGTAGACATTTCATCACCAAACTTAGTGATAGTATCAGCATTAAAATCAAACCAAAAGCTTCTTGAAATGAGCAAGCAGTATCACATGCACCTTCACAGATCAACAATATTGATGAAACAAGCAGAATGTTTTACGTTCAGTAGCATCATAAAGCGTATGTGCAAAGACAACTCACTGGTGATTTGAAATGAGTGTCTACGATATAAAATTCACGGAAAATAAAGTTCCATTATTTTTATTGTTAAAATTGGTTAGATAAACTATGATTTATTTCGTCCCTATATTTCAACATTAATCCATGGTTATGATCTTACCTGATTCTGCAGATCCTTCGTTTGTGTGTTGTGCATCAGAAGGAATTAATTCTTTACACAGTTCATTCAAATCACATGAGGAGTCATGACCATCAGAGCTTGTTTCTGAAAGCTTTGTTGTATCATATATCAACGGAGATGGTGTAGTAGGATGTTCTTCATCAACGCTGTGAATAAAAAGTAACTCACCACGAGTTCTTCGACTAGAAAGTGGAGAAGAAACATTTCCAGTTTTTACAGATGTACCAAGTTTTGTTTCACTAGCTTTATCTTTAAACGACATTTTTACAGCATCCCCACCTTTAGAACTGTCAACTTCTTCTCCAGAATCTGTCTGCAGATGTTCCGTTACAGAGTGCATCACATGTTCACTTATGATCTTATTATGCATCGAAGAAGTCGATTTGATATTTGAAAACTCTAATGAAGGGGAATGTGAAAAAGCACCACTTTGGTTTGCTGATTGATGATCTTGGCTGATATTAAATATACCTTCAGATTGCAAGACCTTTGAAGAATGAACACGTTGTATTTGAACACAACTAGGAGATGGACGTGAACGGATATCTTCAGTAGCTTTTTCCATAAAATTGAACTATAAAACACAAATAAGTTAATACTTTATTATGTTAGATGTTTTTTAGAAATATTAACTTTTCAATATACCTTGAACAAACCTTAGTTGTGAAACGTAAACTAAGAAAGATTAATCGATTCAACATCTTTTGTGAAACTGTAACTAATAAATGACTTTAAAAAGACTTTTTAACCACTAGAGGCATACTTCAGTAAAAAAATTGTCTTGATTCCTTAAGTAGTTGCAAAAATTAGTCTCCTGAAAGATCTTTTGTAAAAGATCTAAAAATTTACGAACTAAGTAAATTTTATGAAGCCTAAAAAGTAGAGATTATGTATACAAAGATTAGACGCTGTAGATGATACAGTATTGTCATTATGTTGCTTAAGAGACAGTAAAACAAACAAGTGAACAAAAAAAGTATTTGTACAGTAAAATAAATCGTTAGGACTTTAGGTGATTGTGTTAAAGTAACAACACAAACTGTGAACTTTTGTTTTGTACATATTTCACACTAGTCATGTTACTAAGATATTAAAATGCTTTACCACAACTAAAACGTATGAGTGAGTTACCAACGATTGCATGTGTTTACACTGCAGAAACTACTAATGTCTGTAAAAACAGAGCAATAAACAAAGGGAAATTATCACTTTTCCTTGCATTTTCATCATTACTTGACTGATTATTCCACTGCCTCTATTTGATAGGATCCATAAATTAGCCTTTGGTGATTAGGCACAGTGCTTCCAACTACCAACTATCAGGTAACAAATTGAAACTTTACCCAACTTCTTTCAATCTGCGTACCTAGAGAGCATCATATCCCACCGAAAGCTGTGTGGTTGAAAACATAGTATCAGACTACCGGATTTTATATTGAATGCCCAACGGTTATTCAATCCCATGGAACCAAGTTAAAATACCAGATAAATACATAAACACAAACGGGAAAGTATACTGATCTTTACTGATCAAACTCAAACCACGCTACATATTGGTCAACTAATTGAGTGGACTGCCAATACTCAGAATAAAAGTAAATGCCTACAATACTCATAGTCCACGGTGAGGATGACAACTAAAAGAAACCCAATGGCAAACTTCAGTCGTGGCTTCCTTTGAAAGCCACAGCGTTCATAGCAAAAAGCATCCTCTGCTCAACACAAAAACTGGATCGAGACTAAATGCCGCATCTATATTAACAAGCACCACTGATTCATGTGAGTGGTGTCCAACTAACTTTCTCAATCAGTAGTGCGAATGGTAGAGCTTTTTCAACCAGTTTCTCGACAGTACTTTCAATACTGAGAGCATCACAATTCGTGATTTCGAAATCATGACCTCAGAAGGAAGTTACGATGAAATTTGCAGTTGCGCCGCGTCTCACTGTCATTCTAACTATAGATTTAGCTTCTCGGAAACATTTCTTTTGAAAATAACGAAGTCACAAATTGCGGTTTTTCTAATGAATCAATGGATAGGTAGGGATTTCCAATAACAACATTAGACATCACTACGGATGGACGATAATTATCACTCTGAAGAGGTTGATACTAAGTATGCTTTGTACACAACCCATACTGGAACACACTCAAACTTATTGAACCAACCTCTGCTGTAATACTGCTAATTGCATTCATACCCAGCTGACCAACTATATTTGTATTGGCAGATGTGGTTTGATTTGCAGCTGTAGAAAGACTGTTACCACCTACAATCGACTGGACGGCACCGGAAGTAACAGCACTGTTCGCACTAGCGTTATCCGCCGAATTGCTTGATCGATCAATGAGTGGTATCTGACGTCGTATTGTATCACTTATATTAAACGAATTTGTTTCCACATCTCCATCACCATTAGGGTTGGTTAGTAGATGAGTCAATAATAATTCTGCACGACCTCGTGAATATGATTCTGCACAAAGAAGCAAAATAGAAAGACAAAGTAAACAATGAATAACCAAAGTATTACTAGTTAGCTAATTTAAGAGGAAATCTTCTAAATCACTTAGGCCAGTAACAAATACTGTAGAATAAAATTGATCTATCAAAAACGAACACGGATTAAAAATAAGAAACTGAAATCAGCATAACAGTTCAAGAAATACTAAACATTCACTTGAATCGGATGACAAATGGTAACAAATGTCATCTTACACTCCATAGTTACGATTGAGATCTAGCGATAAAGCATGCAATCTAAGATAAGCGAATTAACATAGATGAGCTACATTTTCTTCTGCCAAATATTCATACAGTGTTACCTTCTTCGTAGTAAAACAGAACCTTGTCTGTTTTCCTTTTTTCCTAGCATATTTTGATAGCGAAATCAATTTGTATGAAAAGCCTCTTTTTATGGTGAAGGAAATGATATAATCGGGTGAAAACGCTTATGAAAACCAACTACTGTACGTTTTTAGTAAAAGTATTAGCAATTTCTAAATCTGCAGCTGAAGTTATACTTAACGTAAGCTCAATATTCAAGACGAAACTGGTAATGAAATCTTAAAAATGTAAATACATAATAAACATCTAAGTAATCCAATGAACTCACTTTTTCTTTTACCCAGTTCAAAAACTTCGAGTGCAATACGTTTGGAGTTATTGTTCAGATCACTAAAATTTACAATTGAGAAAATATCAACAATATCCCTTGTATCATACCAAAAGACGAAGCTTCAGTAAAAGTAATTAACATAGTTAAAGCTATCCCACTTTCTGTATACCAACAAATACTAAAAACTCTTAAAAAAAGTAACTAGTAGGACATGGGTGAGCAGAGAATGAATACGAGTACGATAAAATTTCAAGACAGTAGTGTATAAAGAACAAAAATCAAATAAAACCTGCCGTTATTCACAGCACAAACTACCTGTTTATCGGATTGGAATCTTTTATATGGTAACTCATGCTTCTAAAAATCATGTTGAACATAGGTATGTCACTTGACAGAAACCTAATTCACTGATATATATAAATCTCACCTTTTAATTGTACAAAACAAACAGAAACGCAACAAAAAAGCATAAAGAGCGATGTAGTTTAATGATGACAACATCGGATGCTTGAACACCGCTGAGTTTCAAAGGTCAGTAGTCGTTGCCCAACATCATGACTATCTTTGGTTAGTTGAACAGAAACTCACTGATAAATTGGAGGTTATTCCCAGAAGGCTTACTAGGTAGATTAAGACAAATGACACCTCACAATACAAAGAGAAAGTCTAGACGGTGTATATCGGTCTGCATTACGTTTGGCGATGTTGCGACACTCACCTTGTTACAATGTAACCGGTAAGCAACGCCCCGATACAAACAGCTTGCTCTGCTTCTGATCCTTATTCTCTGAGTTGAGATCGTTGGAAGAATAACAAATTTTAAAGGTCGCTATATCCGTGTAAATCCATTGGTCTCATGACAATAGCATATAAACAGTTTCACAGCCTAATAGCGCATTTCAGCACTATGATGATCGTTATTAGATAAAGGTAATCTTAAAACACTAGCTTTGAAGTCTCTAACACGTTTTTTCGTATGCCAGTTAGGTCTCCAATCTGATTTTTTATTAATCCTGGTTATTTCAAGCTAAAAAGTTGTCCATTTATGAAAGTGTATAGTGAAACGAAGGTTAGTTGTGTTTGTTTATTAGTGCATTACAACATTTTGAATGGAGTCTTACGGAATTTTAGCTTGAGACGTTATCAGATATGGTTCAAAAACAGTACCAGTAGCCACCATACTATAGTTTTTTTATTTCTACATTTGAGCAGTATTTTAAGAAATAATTAAGGCTTGCAGAGAGCATCCTATATGGTTATATCTTAATTTTTTCCTACTGTATCTACATAACGTCGCTATATTATTTTGTGCAGTGCAAATTTTGGGACCATTGTATGCTAAGTGTTAAAGAGATCAATAATAACGTTTATAATATAATCTAATTTTGTATCGACACTAAGTGAAGGTGATTTTCAATCAGTATAATATTGGCTTCATTTACTCCAACACAACTAAATTTGGTTGTCTGAGACGCTATTTTACTCATATTGGATTCTTCTGCTAAAAATCGACATAATCAGAAAACTACATTTTAGTGATTGGCCTATCGCTACTTATTTTATGTTATGACTTGTCCTCGAAGCTATGCGTAGATGTTATAGAATAAATAGCTAAACCAGTGATATACTCCTTTCTTGTTAATATCCTTTAATGTCTGACGATTTTCTTTCTGCGTATTTCTGAACCGATAGAAGTTTGTGGTTTCCTATGTTGTTTCTGCCTGTTTGATGGTGTGATGGAAATCTTCAGACTTTTTCACTGTTAAACTTTTGTTTTAAAAACAGAATGATCACACACTTAACAGCCACTTTCAGATTAGTGCACTCAGGGTGGGCTACACCTACTGTGTATGTAGGTTGATGACTCCGATTGATTGTCCAAACCTCAGAATGTGGGTTAGGATTCCAACACAACATTCAAGATCAATGAGCTACAGTTCTACAACTCACACATTATTAAGTAATGTATTCATTTAGAAACGCAAGCTTGGTGCAACAAACGTAGGAGTAAGTCTTTTATGTACTGAATGCTGAACTTCACCTCATAAGATGTATTCAAAAAAGAACGGATAAAGCAATAGATGCCAAATTCACGGCTAAATGAAAAACGTAATGGCTGTAGATGTACACACATCCTATGAATACATTTCTGTACTATCTTAAATAGTAAACATGATGAGCTACTAAAGTGGCCATAGGATACGCATGTCACTCAGTGCAAGTTGAAAGTATGCTATAATACATTCCAAAAGACTACAAAGGATGAACGAAAAATCTGGACGATATACTTTAAAGCAAAGTTGTCGAAAAGGGCGATGTCATGTTTAAGTGGGCAAATCTTTTATCCACTAGATCAAAAGTGACATAATTCTGCACGCAACAAGGAATTAAAATAATCCTACCCTAGTCCCCTTTGAAAAAACGGTTCTCAACTTACAAAAGCAAGTGTTGGTCCCAAAACAATTGCCCTGACACTGAACAATGAGTTGAATGTCTTTGGTACGGCTCATCCAATTCCACCACACAGTATGCCCCCGAAAGACCTGTAAGTCATGATTAAATACATAGCAACACAATTGTCTTTGTGCAAATTTAAAGTGAAATGTTAATCAGTGAGATCAGTTTTTGACTATTCTGTACAGCAAAGCATATTAATTGTCTTTCAGTTCTTCGGATGAAGTCAACTACAAACTAAATAAATGAAACTACTGCTAACAACTTGTATTCAACAAGTCATTTTTATAGTGACGTGATTTTTGAGAATTTTAACGTACTCGAGAATGATCTTTCTTGAATCGTGACATGATACAGATAAATTTTCACTTACTGGTTACGTTTCAGTTATAGAAGCTTGAAAGGTTCTATGATTATGATTACAAAATAGATAAATGCCAAAAAAGATGCGATGAATTCTTTCAGTGGAATTGTGCTTTCCTAGACGATGGACGTCGATATTCAGTTACTGATTCCAAACGTCTTCTAACTCTATGCTAATTCCGAGTCCCATGGAGGTGTTGAAATATATTACGAAAGCAGTAATTCTGATATTCAATATGAGTTAGAAGTTCGTAACACAACGATAAGTAACCACAATGTCATAACGTTTTGTATTTCACATACTCCTTTTAGATGACTTCTGCAAAATGTTTTCTAACCAATAAACAATTAGGCGTGAACGATTTCGGTGAAACAGAAGCGCTAACATCTCTGGATCAAAATACAGTTTTACACTAGTCTTAATTGCCACGCCATATCATTGTAACGAGAAAGAGGACAAAACCAAGATCACATCAGTAAGACAAAAAGTAAATGTGACGAATGCTGAGGAAGCAGTGATAATCTAATAACTTCGACCATTCCACAGACACATAGTCATGTTGTAAAAAAGGACTGCAGGTCAGATCCTTAGTAGAAGTCCGGGCATCACTTTAACTCTAAAACTGTAATACATAACGGAGAAGGTAAACGTAACTGATCTATCTCTCAGGCATACATAATAGACAGACAAACAAAGTAAACGTATGAGCTCGCACACAAGTGCATAGGTTCAAGTTACCACACTTCACAGCAGCATGCAAAGAACAAGTGAATATAAAAGGACTGACATCAAAGTAGACAAAGGTGTATGAGAGGAGGGGGGATTTGAAAATGAAGGTTAGTGAAAACATTCAGGCTTTGAAAGACATTGAAGAGTGAATACATCTTCACCACTGCAGCCGATTTCCAGCTATGACACCAACGCTACGTAACCACCGATTACTGTGGTCTGTGATAAATGGATCAAATAAGCTAGTCCAGAAATGGACCAATCAAAGTATACTTTGTGTTAATTATGTCTACAGTTAGAGTGGCAGACAATAAATCAGTCAATACCATTACTTTTAAACTCCCAACCATGAATATATTTAGATATATTTTCTACTACTATTACTACTTCGGGTCCTCGGTCTGAATACACGCTTTTACTTCTCTCACTGCGTCTTTATTAGATACTCAGGTCAGAAATCAACTAGGAAGTTGGTGAACAACGGCATCTGACAGTCGATATCCATACATCGTTAGAGGCTATTGCAGTTTTGTGGAAGTTCACAACCCCATCAACCGACTTCTCTGACTTGTCTAACCTCAACATTGCTTATATGGTGATTCCACCATATACCAGGATTGCTGCGAAAACAACTGTGTTCGAAAGCCTGTAATCTCTTTATATCTTCTACTCTCAACGATCATATCCCACAACCATATAACAAGACAAAAGGGACTGCAGCATAGTATACTAGTCCCTTAATAGGTAGTCGGATATCTCACTAGCTGGCGCCACAGACGACACAAACTGGTAAATGCCAAACGGGCCTTCCGAATCCGAACTGAGATTTCGTAGAAGTGGTCGACGCAATCTACTGCTCCACTCCCTATCATTAAACTGGGAGTAGTTGCAGACCAGTCCTGAAGCATTATCTCACATTTGAAAGCTGTGAAGTGCATTGCAAGCATACAAAGGTTTCTGCTCAAGGCCTTCAGAAGACCCTGCATTTTATTAGCGTTTTGGCCTAGCAAGATAATATCGTCGATGAGATGCCGTCCAGAGAAAAGATCAATCTCTGTGAAGTCAGAGGTACGTAAGGCTATGCCCATTGGTAAATCTATGACAAAGTTGAATAGTAAGGGTGACAGCGGGGTACTTGGCAAACACCACTTGTTGCCGTCAATTCAGATGACAAATCTCCATAAGCCCTTACACGACTAGGTCATTTCCAGTAAACAGCTTTGATTAGCTCTGCATAATTTCTTGGTGTTTCCTTCACATTCGGACAGCGTCACAACAACTCATGGTCAACAAAGTCGAACGCCATCTTCGGGTCAAGAAATGTGGTATGGGTCACCAGCTAGAATATCTGTGTTTTAGAGCTTGCCAGATGAAAATCCGGTCGACACGCTCCCATCCGGATTTGAAACCTCCCTGATTTTATTGAGTTGGTTGTTTTTAAGCTCCAGTTAGGCATCGAATAACTATGGACCCAAGGATTTCAGACAATATTGATCAAACTGAATCCCCAATGATTGTCACAAGGCTCCTCTCCACTATAGATGGAAAATGATCAGTGAAGTTGACCAATCTGATGGAACTAACTTTCATTCGGATACACTCAATCAATCAATATTAACACAGAACCAGGCATTACTACACTACGATTCAAGTTTCCAAACTTCATAACAGCACATCAAGTAGCAAAACAGTAAGATGAAAGATGAAGAAAGAGAAAAATCGGCCAAAAGCAGTAGAATACAGCAAAACAAGGGAAGAAGGAGAAAATTCTGAATTCACTATAGCAATTAAGGTGAAGATACCGTATGGATACATCTGCGCCACTGACAACGATTCTGAGTAATATCACCTAGTTTTCAACCACTGGTTTCTGCTGTCATACGGAACCCAGCTGGCTAGTCTGCATTTCCCAACGTGACCCAAGCCAATAGTCAGTCAAGGATTCCAAGCACTGATCCCATGTTTTAGTCTGGCCACCCCTAACCTTTTTCCAGCCAGAACCTACTTTAGCCAACGGTGAGTGACGAGACAGACGGTAACTAGGCCTGAGTTACACATGTCGCAACCATCTCAGTCGATGAAGGTTCACGACCTCGTCAACTGACTTCCTTCTCCCCCCCTTAAGACTCTACACATGACTTCTGCGTTGCCGACGAAGTGACACCACGAAACACGTATGGTGCGAAGCCAACGGTGGTCAAACACCAGAAGCCTTCTCCTGTCCTTTAAATTAAATGACCATGTTTCACAGTTATAGAGCAGAACAGATCAAACAGCAGCACAGTACACTCGACCCTTAATCGACAACCAGATATCAGAGCGGAGTAACAGACGGAGTAAGTTGCCGAAACCCAATCGAGCCCTATGTATCCGTGATAAGATTTTGTAGACCAGTGACCAAACAGAGCTGATCCGACTTCCCAGACATGTGAAGTAGTTAACATACTCAACCGCTTCACTTTCTACTGTTGAACAGCACTGCTGAAGACCAGTCCTGGGGCAACAACTTACATTTGGGATCTCGGACACAATATTAGTCAAACTGAATCCACGATGGTTTTCACAGACTTCTCTCCTTTATTACGGACTGAAAATGGTCAGTGAAGTTGGCCAATAGGACAGCACTACCTCTGATTTCCACACATTACTGGTACCCCACCCCCGTTGCTCTGCTCTGTATTTCTCAACCTCCTCCTTGTGGTGACGAACTGTCAGGTTCTGCTGCTATGCATCGCTCTAGGTTCAAAACAGCCTTCTCACTTACGAGGAGAGTTGGACGACTGGTATCTAAGTTCCATTCAGGTTCAGGCTAGATGTTGAAAAATGAAGCGTAATTGTAGGGTAGTTGAGCTAAGTTCCTGGATATTACGCCCATCTGTCCAGTTGTCTGTCCTGAGAGATTATCATGGTGCCATCCCTTTCAGTGATAGTTTCACACCATGGTCTTCTTCCTGGCAGTACTCTTAATAAGCTTAAGTAATTGCCACGTACTACACCTAGTACTGGTGTCTTCTCAATGTCTCACGCTTTCCCCATCCACGTACTGCTCGCGATCATCGTGAAAACGGGTTTAATCTACGTTTGAGTTGCTTTCCCTCCTCGTTGTGGTCAGGGTCGGCTGGAATGAATCTTCGCGTATGCACCAGTTCGGATAAGGTCAGATAAATCCACTGACGTCTGTTAACTCTTGCATGTATGTTGTACATATATTAGCCCCCCGCCCCGCCCGAACTACTACCTTAAGCAACATCTTTATAGTACTTAGGACGTGTTTGTCACCTCCCGAATGCAAACTGCTCCCAAGATTTGTCTGCTTTTATCCTGTTTGCCAACAGGGAGTAAAATGGTTAATCTTATTGATTACTCCACTTATTCGGGAAGTTGGATCAACCCTGATGTACCAGTGACCAACGAAATCTCTGTACGGAGCGAAAGGGTTAATTGACTTGGCCAACTTACGCCATTCATGGTGCGGGTGTGACACCCAAATAACTACCAAGAACAAAGTGTAATGCGAAACAGTTTCTTCCATCCTTCTGAATACAGGTAGAGAATGACTACCAAAGACAGAGAACACAAAAAGGTCTCATTCCAGTATTCGACCACCATCACCTTCGTACCATAGACCAGCTTCAAGGAACCACAACGTCAGTAATGCTGAAATCAGGCGTGCAGTCTTCGATAAGAAAGGTATATCGGTGGGTGAGGTTGTAAACCTTCATAGACTCACGTGGCTGGAACATGTTACGCACGCTTAGTCACCATCCGTCCCGTTACACGATGTTAGTTAACTCAGGTTTAGGATGGGAAAAGGTTAGCACAGGTTAGACCAAGGACAATGGCACACGTTTGTCAAGTCTTTGACTGTAGGTCCGCGCTGTTTAAGAAGATGTATACTTCCAGATTGATGCCCGCGTGACTACTGAAAGCGATCGTCGGAGACTCTAGGTGATGTGGTTCAGAACTGATTGCAGTGTAGTAGAACAACCACACATTATCCAAATCATCACATTGCATTTTGTTGTTCGCTTTACACACCATCTCCCTAAAAAACTTCCTACAACTTTGGGTCCCTTTTTTTATGTCGTTCATCCCGCCTGGTACAATGATGCGACGTGAAATGTGGTTACAGGGTTACACTCTCAGTTACTTAGCTTTCAAACATAGAATATTTTTGAAGCAAACACTTGTATTTCGACAGTGAAAAACTCATCTCAAACATTTCCACACCGTCTTCAAATGCAGTAGACAAATTCACTTTTTCAATGTTTTCAATTGAAAAATTAGGGGTTTTATTTAATTACAGATGACAGAGGAATACCTAAAGGAGGTTGACTGATCCGAAGTCAAAAGAAACTAACAATATGAAAGTGAAAAAAAGACTTCTAAAGAGGTCACTCAACACAGCTTTGCAGGAGACCTCAATGTCTCAACAAAACATTCTGTTCATAATGCTGCCGCCTTAATTGAACTTGAACACTAATGTCTGCACAGAATTTATCGCCAAAATTTAACTACAAAGCTTTCTATCACAGCTTATTTCAAACCAACTTCCTTCATACCACCGGCAAACTTTACTGCTAAAACACTAGTTGACAAACAGTTGCAAGATTGGATTATAATCTTTGCAGTTTATTTTATGTAGACCCAAGCAAAAGGTAAGTTTTATTATCAAATAGTTCACTTGCCTGAAATGATAGCCTGTTACATGTCTTCACAAATGTTAGACCCTACATAACACTAATAAGTTACCTAGAACATTAGAGCATATAAATGATGCATATAGACGGAAGTTGCCTCTTTAGTGCTTCAATACTACTACGAAAACGTGACCGTATACGATCTAAATAGGACTTACTTTTTACTGACAGTTCCTCAGCCTTAACCACTTTGACCAATAGCTTTTTCGATGCGAGATTGTTTGCCATTCTTTCTCTCAAAGGTGACACATCCACACTGATATTTGATTTGCGCATTGGAGGGGAGTGTTGAAATTGCTGTAGCAACTCGTATTGCTTGGTGGCATGGGGATTTGAGTCTTCAACCTCCCTCTTTTTTGTTGCATCTGATTCAACTACATCTTGTTCGTTGGAGAATGCAGAATCGGCTTCCTTTTGTATCTGAACTTTAGGTCCCATTTTCTTTAATCCTATGTTTTGAAAGTTCAAGTCATTAACAAATTCAAGCTCCTGCTCTTGTAACAAGCTAGCAGCACACTCTTCTCCATAACAAGATGCTGATCTGACCATTTTACACCTAAACGGTCGTGGAGCTTGACGAGCTACTAAAGATTGGCGTAAACGAGCATTATGGGCAAGCACAACTGGGGAAGATTGGCCTTTATGAGCTAGTGACAAAGAACTTCCGTCTTCTACAACCACAGATTTCACTTCAGCACCCCGCTCAGTGTCATGATGGTTTACATTCTTGGGTTGGTTTTGATTGGTAGATTCTAGATTGTTTAATTCGCATGATAGTGTTTTCACTGGTAGATTGATCCAGCTGTGATATGTTTCCGTACGATTTGCATCATTTTGTGGTTCGTGGTGTAATGGAGTATCTCCGACCTGAATAAAAAAACACTGTTACTGCCTTTGTCTAAAGCCACGAATAAAAATAAATGTACTACCTCCAAAATATTTTTCATAGTGTAAGCTTTTGCTGCTGCTATAAAGGTCTGCCAGTATTGGTTCAATAGTGGATCTCTACCAAGAAGCACTTGTTAGCAGCACATTTCGATGTCTATATTGGAACCCTATCCAAATCTTGATAAATGATGTTCGAACTACTTGCCAATACACACGTTTTTCCATTACATATCGAAAGATCGATCAGAATTTTGAAAGATATAATCTGGCTCTTACAGTGTTTTAGTAAAAGCTGGTATTATTGAATTAGAAACGAGTTTATTTCATACAAATTCGAAACCATGCATATGGATCACAAACGAATGTTTTAAAAAGCATTAGATCTGTCCATAACATTACAATCTTGAAGCCTGCCATAGAACGCTTGTCAAACATCAGAACCAGAATGTTACTTGACAACGTAAAGCAGTCTGATGTGTAGTGTGCTACAATATCTCACGGATGTCTAAAGATACGCAGTTATTTTTTTAACAAATATGAAAATGTAGCGCAAAATTTCTTATTTTAATAAAGTACCAAATAAATTATTCAAAAGACATCCTAACCTTATGGGGTAAGGCATTCGCCGTGTGAAATGATGCATCCTTACGACTTGAGACTTGTTGTAAATGATCGTCCGGTGACCACGATACATTTACCTTTGAAATTATGTTGGCAAGTAACTTCTTAAGATAACATAACTGGGAAAGGAAAGTTTATAAGGAAATAAAACCTTACAGACATGGGTAGTGACGTATCCGTGGTCAGATCAAACTGAGGTGCTGATGTAGCACACATTCTCAACCTCAAAAGCACAATTTCGTTAAACTGCACCTTACAGGACATCTATGCCACTAATAATCAATTTTAAGACAACGCACCTTCATAAAGTAATTTTTCAATGACAGTGTTATTTTCTGAGACAATTCATTTTCCTTGCTGACGAAGTCCGCATACATGCAAAGCATTGGAATGGAAACAGAAAAATACAAAGTCTTAATGTTATGATAAAAAGTAAACTGGACAAACCAAAGATCCGGGGGAATCTTCATGATGAATTTCAAAATCCGAAACTTTTACGTCAGACAATGTACATTCTGATACGGGATTCAGATGAATGCGTCCTTTTCCCTGATAAAGAAAATTATCATCATCTAGAAACCTTACCAGGGCATCATTTAAATAATCATTCACTTTTGCCAACCAAAAGTTACAGAACATTGAAGCTGTAAAGTTGTTTGATTTATATAGCCGAAGAAGGTGCGAAGTATCCACATTCTCGTATTCAGGCCAAAAACCATTTCCTGGACTATTCGTATAGCGTTTATCTAACTTTTTTGGTTGGACTTTCCGGAAGGAATAAGCAGTCACAGATATCAGTAAAATTATTGAAAAAATCAGGATCAAGACATTAGTGCTGCTAGGCAAAGCACTCAGATGAAAAACAACCGAAGAGAATAATCTCCTAAGACCCGTCCAGTCATAAACAGCAAGTCTGGCTATGAATGCCTCCATACCATCATCTTGACCTTCCAAACGAACGACACTCACAAGCCCGCCATATCTGTTGTCGTGCTTCAAATGGTTTCAAAAGACTGTTGACAGAATAGAAGCTCCCACTTAACTGATTTCCGCTTCTAAAATCAGTGGATCACTACTTCTTGTGGTTGTCAACCTGTTTGCAAGTAAACAGAAAGGAAAACATGGCGGTTAAAACGTGAAAGTTCATTTAGTTCAGTGCTGATCCTAGCCACATGATAAAAAGGTGTCCAGTTGGCGTTTAAAGGATTCAGACGAAGAAGTCTGAATCACATCTGTAGGGAGAGAGCTTCAGGGTTTAACAACTCATAGGGAATAGATGTTCTGTTTCATATCTAACCTGCTGTGTCTCAGGTTTAGTTTCTGTCCTGTAAGATTAGTGCTACAGCTAAAATTAAATAAGCGTAGGGTGGGTTTCCAGGGTGCACAGGATGTTGTGAGTCATTATCAGGTCTCCTCCCATCCTTCCGTATTCCAGAGGATACAGATCCAGCGCAACCAGTTGTTCTTCATATGTTTTAGACCATTCCTCAAACAGATTTGATAGGGTGCTTCTGGATGCGTTCCAAGTTTAATTTATCCTACTGTGGGAAAGGGAATAAAAAACGGCTTCGTGCCCTAGGCGAAGCTGTTGAAAATTTTGTAGATTTATTTGCTGTCGAACTGTCCGAAGTTTAGTCTAGGGTTTCCACGAAAAGCGCTTCTGTAACAGTTGGCATAGGATTTTAAGTCTTAAAGGACTAGAGCGCCTAAGTCCTTCTCCGTCAGCGAAGCTCCCAGTTTCATGCCGTTGGGGCCATGTACATGACATGTATCATGTTTTACGTATAACACCTTTGATATCCCAGGATTGAGTTCGAGTCCATTACTGACTGCCCAGTTTAGAAGTTAAATCTTCTTGTGGAAAAACAATGTATTCCTCACTTTCGATTTCTTTCCATAGTTTCAAGTCATCGGCAAAAGGGGAGACTTCGGGAGAAGCCTGTTGTGGCAAGCCGTTAATGCGTGCTAGGAAAAGTGGAGACCCTAGTACTGAACGTTGGGGGACTCCACTAGGACATTCTGTTTCTTCGGACAGAGCGGAAGTCTAAATCAACGACCTCACATATACGAAGACAACTAGTCAATGAATGGTGGTCACATCCCGATTGATTTTAATCTATCAATAAGACAGTAATGTCAAACACAATCAAGCGCCATAGCAAAGTCTAGGTAAATAACACGATTCGACCACGACGGTCGACAATCTTGGTCCATCTATCTACGGCAGCGAGTAGGTTAGTAATGCAGGAGCATCCTTTTCTAAATCAGTGTTGTTAGAGAGTAAAGAGGCTGATTGCCATAAGGTAATCCCTCAGCCCATCGTTGATTAACGATTCCATTACTTTGGAAGGTATGGATAAGAACACCGCTGGTCCGTATTTCTACGAGTTCTTTTGCTGACCTCCTTTAAAAGGAGGCGTTATGTGTCCTAACTTTCAAGGATCACATACTTTCTCTTTACTCACAGAATCCTTAAATAACTCACCTAAAGGTTCGGACAACGTATGTGCTCCTTCTCGCAGCGCCATCGCATGGGTTTTATCTGGTCCTGTAGAGGTGTTTCTTGTGAGCAGTGGCAGTCTGCACTGTGTTAGCTCAACGCTGAAGTCAACGACCAAGAGTCGCACTTCGTTATCGGGATATTCGTAAACCTTAAAGACTCCTAATATTGGATTTCCGTTTGCAACTCAAGATGGATCAGTTCCAACATGAAGAGTGAGAAGGAAAGTATAACACACCATGATAATATCCCTTGTGGTCCTTCTGTACTGCAAAGCCTAAAGCATAGGAGTTGCGTATGTTTTGGCTTTATTCTTTTAGTGTATCACACAGCACTGACCATTCGATTTGTTTGACTCCATCCGAATTCTTCGTATGACTATGCTGAAGTTCCCATTTCAATGCACAGCCCCATCGTATTTTGTTTTGATAGCAGCCATAAAATTTAAGGCTGTTAACTGGCCTTGTTATATGTATTTTGCTGAAAAGAGCAACTTTCATAGACTTCCAATAAAGTTTGGGTATGCATCCTCAGTTTAGCAAATGGATGTTTTTAATCGGTCATTTTAGATTTAGGTTTATGAACTAGGGAAATTCATATTATTGTTATTATTCTTTGTCCCTTGGGTTCCTGGTGGAACATAGGGCTTCGACAGCACGCCGCCATTTCACGCTGTCCTCCCCAGCCTTTTGAACCTGGCTACATGGCTGCCCAGAAGCTTTCATTTCTTCCTCACACGATCTCCTCCATGTCACCCTCGCCTGACGCGTCATGTCCCTGAATGATATTCTCAGTGTATGTTCAGTCCAACCCCTCTCCACTTTCTTCTGCATATTTGTTGGGCGATGGGTTCTTGGTTGGTTCTTTCCCAGGCCAAAGTGAGTTCTTTGTCGTTTACGCTCACTATTCTGGCTACCTGATCTTCAGTATCGAGTTAGCGTAGGTGGCAGCTGTCGATGAATGTCTGTAGTTTGTTGGAAATGCTTTTCATAAAACGCCAAGTCTCTGAACCACAACATAGTAGCACTGACTTACTTGAATGGATTGGTGTTGAAAAACCGGATCTTTTTCACGCTCTGTGCCTGGTGCGGTAGATCTCAACACTGGTTTCAGGTTTTCAATAGTGATAATGCATTTCGAATGATGAATTATACGAGCACAAGCAATTTTCGCAAAAAACATCTAAATGAGGGCCTATCTTGCTGTCTTTCCGATCCTGGCTGCTTTGACGCCCTCATCTGTGCCGCTGCCGCCTGTAGTTGAATCGATGCTGCCTGGGCAGGTTTCTCGCGTTGATGGTGATCGGTGCTTGTTATTGTTGGTGGTTGAGTATCTTCATCACCCCTGTCTTCCCTACGATCACTTGGAGTCCTGTTTTCGCCACCTCACTTCTGGCAACTTCTTGGTTTTTGCCCGTAGATCTTCGAGTTTGAGCGATAACACATCAGACCTAAATCATCATTGGCGGAGAAATCCAAATCTTCTAGGGTCTGTTCACCGCTTCAGCCAGCGTATACCCATCTTCTCACAGCTCCTCACAGTTTCTCGCATGATTCAATCCAGTTCAGTCGACCACAGTCAGAAAGATCATCGGTGATAGTAGGCGGCAGCCCTGTCTTACTCCTGTCTCTTAATCTTGAATCCAGAGCGATTTTTAGTCTCTGCCGGATGATGTGGCTTATTATTTCGCTTGGGGTGACAGGGACAGGAGCATGATTCCTTGCCAGTTCTTGCAGACTTGGATCTCCCTTATTTGGAAATATGATAAGGTGGCCCCTCTCCCAACCGATCTGCAGGTACCTTCTCTTCCTTCAAACCTTCTACAATAGTAGTGTGAGCGTGTCCGCTGTTGTCTTTGTGTCGTTGGCAACACATTTGGAGGAATTTCGTCTGGTCCTGCTGCTTTCCCTCATTTCAGCAGCGTTATGGCGTTCAGGAATTCACCTCTGCTTCTGTCGGAGGTCTTGTGTTCACTAATAGTTCTGTGGCTGGACCGCTGGTGGAATTTCTGGATGACTTGCAGGTGGTGGTCGATTCAACAGTTTTTTTGAAGGAATCAACCCACTGTTTCCTTTGTTTCCCCACTTCGGTAACTAGTTTTTCTTCACCATCTTTCACTGGTTTCGTCTGCGTTGACCTCTTCTTTTACAGACTGTAACCCGATTATTTAATAAAGTGTTGTCCGGTCTCTCCTACATGCAGCCTGTTCTGCTTCACTTGCAAGTGCGTCATATAAGTGTCTTTTGTCTTTGCGCGCGCTCTTCACTTCTTTGTCAAGTGTTCTATGCGTTTTACTCAGTTTTTCTTTGCATTGTGCGTCTCTTTCACAAAATTCCAGTGTTCCTCCACGCCCGATCCTTCACGGATGTTGCTTAATGTCCCCAGTTTCGTTCTGATGGCTGACATGAAGATGTGCTTTGTAGTTTTGTCCTTCAGTTTCCTTTCCAGGTGTTGAACTGTGGTCTATCACCAACTTTTTTGAAGGCTTTGAACTTGATTTTGAAGGGACATTTCTGGTAGTAGATGAAGAGTGGTGACTACTTACGTCTGCTCCCCTTCTTCATCTATCGTCCAGTAGGCCGCGTCTCCATCTCTACTTTTTTTTCGTTAAGATGAAGTCGCTCTGTGTAGGTCTGGCCGGCCATCGCAGGGAATGTACGAGTGATAGAACTTTAGGAATTGTCCTTGTGCGAACTTGATAGACACAGAGGTCAACCACCAATTATTCGTACTTGTTATATACCCACAAATACGAGACCGAGGAAGAACACAATAGTGCAGTCGGATGGAATAGTATACTTGCTAGGTCCTGCCAAGATGCCGATGCGCTCCAACTAACTGGCTAGAGGGTCGTTTACAAGCGGTGCAACGTAACACAACAGCACGCCGAATGGCGTAGATGCTTGACCGGGTGCCTTCAGCCTAGTGAGTCCAGTAAAACTATGAAGGTCAGCACCAATGTTGAATCTCGTTGAACCCTAGGCTATTGACGCTGGAGAAGTGTATGACACTACAGAACTGTGCTGTGGAAAGTCAACAGACCTGTGATGCTATTTCATAAGATGCAGAGAATGATTGAAAACGCTCTTCAATGATGCTACTTTGCCGGCTGTGTGTGAATTTGACAGGCACAGGTTCACTATATATTCAGTATGAATAGTGTTACAAGAAATACCCATTAAATACAGTCCCAGTTTCCGCAAGGTTCACTTGCCTAAAGTCTTATAGGTCAGTGCTTGCAAGGTCGGAAGCGAACACACTCGGGATAGGTTAGGTCTTCGTGATTTCACGTGTCTCACACACTCAACAAGCATTGCAAACGTTTCCGATCCACTTGCATCAGATAAAGTTAGAAGATGCAAGTTATATAAGTTAAGCCTATGTTTAATGATAGGAAAGTTACTAGCATCTGCATAAGCAGATAAAGTTTTCGGCTCACTTATTATTCCACAGTTTTTGCCCTTACTGCAAAGATCGGTTAGGTGGAATTTAACTTCAACTTACGATTTGATTCATAATACCATCAGAATTAAAAGATAGCTTTCACACATTAGCTTAAGAATTTAAAGGGCAGTGCGTGAATATTCTCCTGAAATTTTTAATAATGAAACGATTAAGTTTCCTGTCTAGGGAGTAAGTGGTTTCTGAGGCCTCAGATTTCATAAGAAGGAGAAAAGATATGCACCTTGACACAAAAATGACATAAATATTCTTGATTTAGGCTTTTCGACACAGCCTTGTGTGAGCACCATGTAAAGCATTTGGCTACAAATAATGGTGTCTCAAATATTTTATCCAGAAATTGAATGCTTCCCTTGTTGCATTGAATGTTGTTATGCGCACTGGTTAGTTGGAAGACGCTACCAAATGTGCTACCGTTGAGTTGTGTGCGTCGTCATTTGCATTATATTGCTTTCCACAGTTATCAGTAGTCTTGAGTCGCCTGAAAACAAGGTTTTGAATATCTGATGAACAGTAGCCTTGACAAGCCAGTTTCAGTTGTTCTGGGTGCCCAGTGGGGTGATGAGGGAAAAGGAAAGTTAGTAGACCTTCTTAGTGAATCTGCTACCGTGGTATGCAGGTGTCAGGGTGGAAATAATGCAGGTATGTTCACTAGCTTTCTTTCTAGTCTCTGTAGGCCATACTGTAGTTGCTGAAGGACAAGAATATTTCTTTCATCTTTTGCCTAGTGGCATTGTAAACTCAAATGTTTTGGCGATTGTTGGTAACGGCGTTGTTGTTAACCTACGAGGCCTTTTCCAGGTATGTGTGATTTCTGTCACATCATTTTTCTTGTAGGAGATTGAAGAGGCTATCAGTAAAGGATTATTGGATGTGACCTCGCGTTTACGGATATCTGATAGATGCCATTTAGTATTTGATATTCACCAAGAAGTTGACCGCATGGAGGTACTGGGATCGTGTTTCATTACTTTGTTCAATAGGAGGAATTGAGAGGTGCTAATCTCATCGGTACAACGAAGAAAGGCATTGGTCCAGCGTACTCTTCGAAGATCACGCGCAATGGTTTGCGTATGTGTGATCTGATGGGTGACTGGAATCAATTCACTGTCAAGTATGAAGAACTCGTTGGTTATGTTAAGAGACGTTATCCGAAACTAGAGACGAATGTCGAAGAGGCATTAGAGGTAGGTTTAATGCACATTTTGTCTTTGAATTGCTCATTAATCAAAATCCAACCAGATTTTCTTCGTAAACCCGATTCGTCTCATGAGATTTCAGCTCTTATTATAGTAGGTGCAAGTATAATTTTAACTGGAAAAATATGATTGACTCAAGATGGTAAATCCTGGTGTATGCTAGGGTTCCATCAACTGCATGAATAACTAAATCAAACTACGAAAGGGTTCGCAACCACTGGAACAAGAGTGCGTAGCGACAGATTTACCTATCAAACAAACCTAGCGAGAAGGTTACAAACCACTCCCGAAAACCTGTACCGCTTCATGTCGAAAAGGGAGTCAATCTTATCACAGGTCCTGATGGGAGTGTACTAAGCAGCTCACTTTACCAAGCCCAACTTAGTGCTGACACCAGATCCACACCGACTCGTTACGACACTGACCAGGCCTTAAATAAGGAATACTTCTTCCACATCTTAATCACAGAGAAAAGAGGTGTCGGAGAAACTATCTAGGCTACGTCCTGCCAAGTCCCCTGACTGCGATAACCTAAAACTGGTAATCCTAAAAGACTGCACAATGGTGATTGCAAAACCAATCTGCAACCTTTTCAAGCACTCAGTATGGTCATGCAAACTCCCTAAAGAGTGTAAGTGCTCCATATCGTCACCCATCTTCAAGGGAGGAGACAGAAAAAGCCTTAGCAGCTACAGGTCAATTACTCTACTCCCTATACTATCGAAAGTTAGGAAGCCTGGTAGGTGACACTATCTGGGAATTCCTCAACAAGGAAAACACTGTCCATACTGCTCAACATGGATTTCGGAGTGGTCGCTCATGTGCAAACAACTTACTAACCGCCTGGGACGACTGTACACAGCTGGGACCAAAGTAAACAGAATAAGGTCGGAGTGAGGACCATCGACGTCGGGAGTATCCCAAGGAGCAATTCTAGGACCACTTCTTTTCCTCCTGTTTGTCAGTAATTTAGCACAAAATATCCTCATCCATCCTCTTCACTGACAACGTTAAAATTTGGAGGGTAGTAGACGAAAAGCCGACTGCACAGTACTACAAAATGACTTGCAGCAACTCGAACTCTGGTCGTCGGAAAATGCCTTGAACTTCAACTTGGAAAAGTGCAAAGTAATAGACATCAGTAAGTATGAAGCAAGTACGGCCGACTTCCAGTACATGTTGAGCAACCATGTTATCAATGAAGTGTCCATGGAGAAAGATTTGTGGCCCAACTCCGACACCTTGAACATTAGCTCCAATTACAAAGATATGACGACCAGAGCGAATGCCATTTTGCACTTTCTGCGTAGATAGCTTGGCGCCCTCACCCTCTCACCCTTCCTCACCGTTTTCAAATCCTGCATACTGCCGCACCCAGAGGTCTTCAATACAGTGGCCCCTCAACACTCAAGAGAGACTCTAATCTTGAAGAAATACAAAGAACTGCAACAAAATCAGTTGTGGGCTAAGGGGGAAGGCATATCCTGAAAGACCAAAACACCTAAACCTATTTACCTTGGGTTATCGCAGGAAGAGGGATGACCTTATTATGGACTACAAAATCGCCCATCAGGTAAACCACGTGAATAAATTGACCTTGCCTTTAACACAGCGGTCATCATGCGGAAACCCAATTGGACCATGCTTAGGTCCAATTTTTCCTCCCTGAGTGTATGTGCTTTATAGAATATCCTACCGTGGCATATCTTCATAGCCCCCCTCAGTTGACTCATTCAAGAGACGGTTAGACAGTTATGTCACCTCTCATGGTCTACCACGGATGTACTCAGGGAGTCACCAACCTCACTAGCTCGCCCTCACCTCCCTTCTACCTACCACTCACTACCTCTCTCTTTAATACACCCAAATTACCTACTGATTCTTCTCTAGAAAATAGACCTGTGCTATCTACTTTTACCTTTCAAGCAACTCCCACATACTTTTCTCCCTTTCTCCCCCTTTTTTCTCTTCTCTTCTTTCCCTTTTCCCCCCATCCTTTACCACTACCTTCCTACACAGACAGGAGTCATGGCAGTCCCCTAACTTTCCCAGCAACCCGTAGCTCCCCAATCACTAACCCACAAAACATCCACCTCACTGAAGCTAAAAGCAAGAAGGCAGAGGGGATTTCCTTGTCCACTGCAGGAGTGAACCGAACAACTCAAACCAGGCTTTAAGAACTAGACGCGAGAGATCAAAAACTAGCAGCTTTCTACGCTCGCACTATCAATATTAGGTATTAGAACCGAGTTGTGCTGTGAACCAAATATCAAATATTGATAAGCATAACTCGCTATTATGCGGGACTGTTACTCCTTGTTTAACGATCCTAATTTTCAATTTGTGAGTTACATGGTGACATCTCTTTTTAGCTACCATGTTTTGGTCATTTTTGTAGCGTTACAAACGTATCCGATAGATGTAACTCGTAAACTTTTGCAGGAACCTGCAAGTACGAATTGCACTCCTCATATTCTAAAAATATGGCTCACTGTTATAGGTTTTTGACTTCTCATCTATGTTATCGACTCGAATTCTGTTTTACCTACTTTGACTTGGATGATTGGGTGACCATAAGACCTGTAAATTTGATTCGTACATCAAATCTGTACTTTGTTGTTGCATTGTTGCTGTTTTACATCTTATCCTATAATTCAGCATGATTTTCGTGTTACTAAAGCCGTATATAATTACTATTCTTTGGACATTATTTTAGATAATGCAGATTCTTCTATCTCCGTGTTAAATGAACTTTTCATGAAGTCTGTCATTTCTATATACCGTTAGTATATTCGTGCTGCGGTTGCTAACGTGGCACAGTTTTAGTTGTAGAAAGGTGATTCGGTGTCTAGCTTTTGGTGACTTTTCTGGTTCGGTGGTTGGTTTTCAGATATTTCAGTTGTCCAATATCATGGAACTTGACATTACTTCATAACGATGTAAGTTTCTTCCTGTCGCTCAGGTTGATCAAAGCTTTTCTAGCTTTCTAGGAGTTAGAAGCCGTATCTGAATACTTAATCAGGGTTGTGACTTGATGGTTAAAAGCCGAGGACTAACTGAAAGCCATTCGTACTGTTCCTCTAACTGTTCTACCTACCCTTTTCTCCTGAGTTGCAGGCTAATTTTTCTAATCACCGATTTTCCCATTTCAATTTCTTTGATAAGTATAAACAGGTATCTACTATTACCTATTGCCATCACCTTTTTTTCATTTCTTAAGCCTGAGTTACTCACCACGGCTCACTTTCATTTTGTATATTGTTTTGCTGGTTGAGAAATTCGCATGTCAATTATTTGTTCAATATATTTGCCCATTTGGGGTAGTAGTCGAGCCTGTTTACCACGGTGACTGGGACGTTTTTTCCTTAGATGCCTGAATTACCAGAAAAGTAGACACAAAAGTGGTAAGATTAATAACAGTTGTTAGTGTTGTGAGTGTGACCGTGTAGTTGGGAATTGGAAATGTTATTAAATTGTATGAACATGATAGTATTCTTCACGAATGCTAAGTGTTATTGATGTTACTTTGTACTCCTTTTAAAGAGAAATTGAAAAAGACTGCCTCTAAGAATAATCAAACTGCTTAACATGGAGTATCCACACACAGAGAGTAATATTGCTGAAGTGTATATTGTTCCGCTCAAAGAAGTACAACAAAGTTGAGGTTGCATTCTTTACTGGGTTGTGGCTCATTAGGCTAGACTGTACTTCTATCCAGTTGGTCACGGGTTCCAACCCCATTCCATCTACCCAGCTTTGCGAGACCAAGTAGTATCATTAACCCTCCCGAAATAAGTGTGGCTCATTGCGTAGTGCATGAATGTGTACGTTTGTCGTGGCCGATAGCTGGTACCTTGACGTGGTGACCGGGCTTGCATATCGCAATGATCACATGAGCTACACTGGTTGGAACTCTTGTTCACTAGAAAACCCACCACGCCAGAAAGGTCCCTTGAATGGTGGTAAGGCGAAAAGCAGTTACTGTTACAGTTTAAATTGTTACGCTATAATGGGGGTCTGAGAGAAGTCGTGCTGCTGGCTGGATAGGAGTGTGACAACAGTAGGGTGTTTCCCTTGGATGACCAACTACCATGCTGATGCTGTCTTCCTTGTGGGAAAGGGGAGGGGTGGTTAGAAATAGTCGGCCTCAAAAATGGCAAACTCACGTTTGCCTTATGGTCTTCCTGTGCTGGCGGTATGGGTTTTTCTTATCTGGCGTTAGAACAACCAAATCTCAGGTCAGCAATCCTCAAAAGACTGACGAGCCCCAAAAAAATGTCTCGTGCGTTCTGGAGTCGCACAGATTTCCTCTTTCAGGTACCCTGCAGAAACAACTATGGTGTGGACAGCCAGGGACTGTCAACCACCTGCACGCTTCCAGTAATATACGGAATCCAATCAAACAACCTATCCTCCGTACATCTCTCCTCCTTTACCTTTACTGCCTGATACCAGTATTAAACTGCTTGCAACTTTCTCAACCTCCTATTATGTGACCATCGCTAACGACGCAAGCCATTAGAACCTCATCCTTAGTCTTCTAGGATCCCGTTACCGATTTCACATCGGAGCTTTCAATGTTTAAACCCTATGTAATATTGGATTGCAGGCACCGCTCCCGGAACTCTTGAATCTCCAGCCATGGATCTATTTTGCGTTTCTGAGACACGCATACAGAGCCCTAATGTGGTCATTAACTTGATCTCACCTGGCAAGTGGAGTGTATCTCGAAAATTCACTTTACAATAGTCCGGAGATTCAATGCCTATCTGTCGTCGATTTGCTGAAGTACTGACAGCCTTGAGTTACAAAGCAGAAAGTGCGCTTCTCGACTGAATATCAGTCAACAACCATCCATATGCTGTCCGACCGAATAGATCTGTAAAGACTAGGAAGGATCATGAAACCGATATTCATAAACTCCACCTACGCACCCACCGAAAGCAACAGATAATACGAAGGGTGGATTCTGTCGAAAGCTGTACAATTTTCCACATAAGGTAAAAGGTTCAAACATATTAGCAGGCGACTTCAAAACCCAAGTAGAAAGGCAGAGCGAACTGGAAAGATATCTTGGAGGTATCTACGGAATCTCGTGTCAACGAACCAGCAACGGTGATCGTTTGTTACAATTTCGTTGTGACAATCACGCGTTTCTAGTCAGTACTAATTCCAAGCATAAGGCGAGACACTATCTCACATAGCATCCGCCAACATCAAACCAACGATAGACACAGACAAATCAAATTTCCATAAGCCATCGTTAAAAAGGATCGGTGGAGTATTGCCGCTCTTTATAGGGTATCTGTTTGAACTCCAGCCACATATTAGCTAGAGCACTTGTATGTCGCAGAAAACAGGCAGCAGTGAAGTTTGGGTGTACTCGATTAGAAGATGACAACGTGAAGTACGTATTCAGGGAGGAAACAACTAAGCATTTACCTGAACGTGACGCCAATTCTTATATTTAGGAAACCTTGCGTGATATTCAATCTGCTGTAGAAACAGCGATAAATATAGTTGGTAACCTACATCCAAAGGTTAGTAAACGTCATTGGGTTTCTGCGACGTCATTCGAACTGATTGATGGGAGAAGGCTGATTCCAACTGACTCTGAACCCAAAAGTGAGTGAAAGCAACTCGAAAGTGAACTAATCAAGAGTTTTCACAATAATCGCGAGTAGCACGTGGGTGGGAAAAGCGTGAGACATTGAGAAGACATCAGCACTAGGTGTAGTACGTGGCAATTACTGCCAGGAAGACGACAATGGTGTGAAACTATCACTGAAAGGGATGGCACCATGATAATCTCTCAGGACAGACAACTGGACAGATGGACGGTAATATCCTGCAACTTAGCTCAACGAGCCTAAGGATATCATATTGAAAGTCGTATGTTGTTAAGATATCAGTGGACCAAAAGTCTGTAGGTAACTGTTCGTTCCAGGACTGATAGCCAGTTTGAACGTGATTTTGTATTGTTTGGGGGAATTTTGAAATTAGAAATTATTTACTGTTTTTTCCCACAGCAACTCAAGACTTATCGTGAAAAGTTGTCTGGAATGGTGTGCGATACTGTGCTATTGGTTAACAAGCTTGTGGAGAACCATGAAGCAAACGTTTTGGTAGAGGGCGCACAGTCATGCATGCTAGATATTGATTTCGGAACATATCCACATGTTACCTCGTCGAATTGCAGTATTGGCGGTGTATGCACTGGTCTAGGAATCGCCCCTTCCCGTATTGGTCGTGTTTATGGTGTTATTAAAGGTAAAATATCTGTTTTCCTACTTCTAGCTAGTCATTATTTATCGCTCTTAGTATGACGCTCCTTTTATAATAATGTAGTGTTATTCTTTCATTTCGAAACCTGTTTCTTGTTTTGCGTACAGCCATTTCTAGGTGTTTACAATACAGAAAAAATACCATGCATTAACATGATTCTATCAAAGACATTATTTTGTATTGAAGCGAAGAATTATTTTCATTACTCTGTGACCTCTATACTTGCTAGTTACTTCCAGTGCATCTCAACTCGTTTTAAAATTATTTGAATGTGGTTAAATAAACTCACTGAATTCCAACCAAAGGTAGATCAGAGATAGTTTACTAAATACCTTGGTTACGCAAATATTGCTAGGGAAGCAGGATTTAAAGTCGAAACACGCTGATTAAGAATATCCAGTGGTTGAATTGATTAACTTGAATAGTAGGCTGATTTCACACTATTGAAGTCATCTCACTGAAACTTGTAAAAAGTTGTATAGGGGAAACCATGCTACAGTTAGTCATCCAAAACTTATGACCCAGCATAATTCAGTATCAGTTTAATTTGTAACGCTCTTATTTATTATAAAGACAATAAAATAAAAAAGTGAAAGCAGTGATATCTGTGGCTGTAATCAAGTCTATGAGACTATGAGCTGAGGTAATGAAAGGAATCGGATATTTAAGATGTAGGGAAGTATAATAAGTGGATACATTTAAATAGACGAGAGTGTGTTTGAGCCATAACCAGTTAATTTTACAAACTGTATCAATCTAGTCGTCTGGACAGTATTTCAACCCTCACACAAACGATGATGATATATTGCTGTAGTGAAGACTTGCAAATTTAGGTTGTTCAGTTATTCATATTATGTTGCTGATACGATATTCAGACATAAATTGTTTTGGTTTATCTCTTATTTACATCGTCATGCCACTATTGGTAAAATTTTACTCTGTTTCTTATCGAGTTACTCAGTGTAATATATAGAGCAATCCTTCAGAAACTTATTTAAGCTTTTCAGCGTCCGTACCTTGATGCATATCGCATAACAGAGGTCGGACTGGGATTTGCAGTAAGCCTCGCTACCTATATTTACTTCATTTTAGAAGACTAGGTGCAAGATCCTTGTAAATTGTCTGTAGTGAATTCTTTATCTATCAACTGAAAACTTATTTTCTAGATGCGCTAATTCGCCAAATCTGTGAAATTACGTCTTACTGGTTTCGTTGTTGCAATAAGTGCTAGAATTACTTACACATTGTAGTGCAGTTAACTATCAAATCGGGCTACATATAGATGTGTATTATTTTAAGAGATTATTGGCAAGTCGTTATTATGCCTTACTAATAATAGCCCAGTCAGTGTAACCGGTAGAAAGCGAATTGTTTGCATCGTTGTCGTTTCTCACCTTCAGTTCGTTGCAAGCCTTCCCGTCTTAATAGGAGCTGTGAGGTAGCCACCAGTTATTGCTACTTAATAGAAACTGGAGTGTGGTTTAGTGCGTGCAATTCCAGGATATTTGCAGGCATTGAGACTGCATCCGTAGTAATAAGCTGAATAGCTGCTAAAATGATAAGCTTAATGATCTTTAGTTATTAATTCTTCCTGTCAGTGGATAGCACTGTGATAGTTGGTAAATAAACTGATTAATTAGTTAGTCAATCATTATCAACATGAGACTTGTTATCACTGTATGATATTCAAAATTGCCACACCTCATAATCAGCACATCAATGTAAAAGACATCAAGATAAAATATAGGAAAATTGGGAATAAAGCAGTCGAAAGTAGTAGAGAGTCGTTAGAAACGTATAAGATAGAATGAAACGGTCATTCAGAGCACAGTCCATGATGAATACTACCTCTAAATTAAAAATCCCCATTCATCTCAAAAATACATTACCGTGCTCATTAGTAAATCGCTTCCAGATGGATATCACGAAGCTCTAATGAGAAGACGTGGCCTGTGGCGTCAAGCAGTCGGAAATGAAGCGGATGCCAACTGAAGACCTTGGGTGATAGTCGCGCTATATCGTGAATTGACAGAAGTTGGAAATTGTGAACTACTGAAAACTGACTCAGTTGCTGCGTGTTTAACGCGTTCGCCGAGAAACCTGAAGGTTCTGAGTTCGATCCCTATCCGGGTTGTGGGTGTGTACTGCCTAGGAGTCCTACACTAGGACGAAACAGCTGTCCAGTGCTCCCAAGTTTCCAGTGGTTCGCCAACTGTTGTCAGTCCATGATGAATACTACCTCTAGAAAAGGAATTGTTTATGCATGACTGCACAGCCCATCAAACATACGATTGAGACCTGTCACATGGCTACTTTAAGGTTGTTGGATTGATAGTTGGTTGTGCTAATGCTGAACATGAAGGACCCATACCGCAGGCATTGAAAAGCCATTGGGCCTGACTGGGGGTGCTATTGTTACGGTCAGTCTTCTCAACTCTACCTTTCCATAAGGGAGGCAGCATCAACCTGCAGTACTGGTCATCCACGGGAATCCCCTTACAGCTGTCACACCCTAGTCCAGCCAACACTATAACCTCACCCTCGGACCTCCGTCATAAAGTAGCCATTTACACTTTGATGGTAGCTGCTTTTTGTCTTGGCATTATCCAACAGGCCCTTCTATTATGGTAGGATTTTAAAGAGAAAATGCTTCTGTCATCATAGGTTGTTGGGTCATTGTGATATACAATCCAGCAACTATATCAATATAAGCATCCGATGCGTTTCATCATATGGGTGTTTAAGCCATCATCAGAAATATGATAAATATCATTCCACCCGACACATGTTTAATGTAATACACTGTGAGCCACACCTCTTTTGTGGCGGTTCATGATACTGCCGGGTTTCCCAGGCCGAATTAGGTGGAGCGAGGTTCAATCCTGTGATCCAGTGCCTAGATCAGTGAGCTACATCTTCATACTGAATTCGTTATGAACTACTAGTGTTTAGGTTCACTAATTGCATCATAAGCTGATGACAGTGCATAAAAGTTTATAACATTATTGCTGTGATTTTTTTGATGATTTATACTGGAAATTACCAGTTAGTCTATGATTTAAAGTCGAAATTAGTTGGGTTGTGCACTATTGACTTATTTTCTCTGATTTTAAGTTTTCTCATGTATATTCGCTTTTAAAAATTGAAAAATCCAGTTTGTTTTTAAAATTTTTTTTCTTAGCATACACAACTCGTGTAGGTTCTGGTACTTTTCCTACGGAGTTATTAGATGGAGTTGGTGAATCTATCCAAAAGAAAGGTCATGAATGGGGTGTGACAACTAAACGCATGCGCCGTATCGGTTGGTTAGATACAGTGGTCGTACGATACGCACATATGATTAACGATTTTACTGCTTTGGCTTTAACTAAGCTTGATATTTTGGATGATTTAGAAGAGGTAGTTAAACGAATTTCAATTGGGCTGTTTAAATTTTAGTATTGTCATATATTTTGACTTTTTTTTGTGAAAGTAATTGGTTTACGGAGGAAAACCACCTCCCGTTGTGTAGTCAGAAGCTTTTAGCCTAATGAAGTGAAATACCGCCATTATTACATAACGAATGAAACTTCAAGTCAATAGTTTCATGGTTTTTATATTCTACGTAGATCTGATGTAAATACGATTACTGTTCAACCTATGAAACAATTGGAGACTGTTATTCGCTTTCTTATTAACATAGAAATTTTCATGAACCTATTTAATCATCATAGTAAGTCTAGAAAAATCATCCGTACAAATAGCTGTGTGGTGAAGCACTCTAAATTTGAAAAATACTTTTTCTAAGCTAAACTTTTAGGGGTCACACTTCTTCAAAATATGTGAAAGAAGCGGACCCTTAGAGTATCGGTGTCAAGTTCCGAAGAAATTGAGTTTTTTGCTGTTTCTAGTTCGAATGCAATCAGATATCAAAAGGCGTTCGTTCTTGCAGCATATCTATCTCCTTATTTTTAAATAAAAATAGATGAACTATTTTTTGTCAACTAATATAGTTATAAGCGAGCATTGATTCTAGTGATACAGACACCGCAATTATTGAAAGAATGGAATGTGTCCAGAAATGCCATTCTAAGGAATCATAAGCATTTAATAGTTACTTTACTACGTATGTGTTGTAAGGTGGTTGACTTTCAGGTTTTAGTAATAACAAAATACGAGCACGCTGTACATCTCGTTTATCATTGCTCCCAGGTTTCCAATATTCCTCCAAGTGATGTCAGTCCATGATGAATACCAACTTGAAAAAAACATTTGTTAAAGTTTAAAAAAAGTCTAATTGGGCGATGAAATATATTTCTTTTCAGTTAGGTCTTCATCTTGGGCTCTGCACTAATATATAGTTTTACAACTTAATCAAATTACCAACCATGTGGTGATGTTTTAGAAATAAATATGTAAATAATCAATAGAGTAACTAAAATTGGAAATATGAAGCAAGCTAATCTTAGGTAAATGGAGTGACTTTTGACGAGTGTTCAGTCATTCTCAATAAACATTTGCGTAGTAACAAGAAAATAACTGAATATTGATAGAAACAAGAAGGGGAAGAGGTGTACAAAGTAAACCTAGAAGTTACATCATGTTGACAGCCACGGTAATGAAAGTTATCGAACAAACTTCTTTTGAATCAAAGGCTAGGTTTGTAAAGGCGGATTGCAGTCGCCTGTGCTATGTGAAGTAAGCGAGTACGTAATCTATGCGGTAAATTAATTGGAATCTGATGAATGATTTTGAAAGCTTTACTAGCATCGACTTGATGTCGCGTGTCAACTAGGTGTGCAGGTATGGAGATCTTTATTGTTCTAATTTGTCCCTTGCTCGACCATGATGGGTGGTGCTCAGAAATTCGACGATGGGACTGCTTCATTGTACGCCCAACGTAACTAGCTCCACCGGCGCAGATGAATTCATAAGTGCATATAGATGTGACAGAATCAGGCAATTTTTCTTTATTTCTTGCACCTAGAATCACGCAGCTGTAGAAGATGGGACATAATTTAGCGGCTGGGAAGGCTTTATGCAAGACTTTTTATGCGCTGTGTGATGATCTCACTGACAATGTTACTCTTGAATTTCATCTTCAAGAAGATTTGATTCCTAGGAACTGTTGGCGTTCTTGCCTTAACCGTTGTAATGTTTATATGCTTAGTTGCAAACTTGTCTGGGTAGTCATTCCTACTGAGCAGATCATGGTTGGTGGTGCATTATTTGAGCTAATAGCTGCGGCACGATATGCTAGGCGTTTCACCAATTTCCTTTTGTATTGGAGAGGTACGGCACTAAAGCAGTGGGTGTATTGACCTGCTGATGTTGGTTTTCTATATGCACTTCGTTTCAGAGTTCCATCTAACCTTCTTACCTACCAACAGAACACCAAGAAATAGAAAACTCATTTTTCTCCTCTTCCATTGTGAAGTTGCTTGCCGAATGAACACTATTGAACTTATTAAAGACAGCATTCTTATCAATCTCACGTTTGAGAAATTTAAAGGTATCATCCATGTAACGACAATATAGCTCTAAACGGGTAATAGTTTCGTTCAGTGAACCATTCTCTAGTTTTGCCAGAAAAAAATCAGCTAAGAGCGGGCCAAGGGGTGACCTTATAACCATACCATCAGACTGCCTGTAGAGTTTATTGTTAAAAGGGAATTGTGCGTTCATCGTACACTCCAAAAGTAGTTCTTTCAATGTAGAGATTGGTATACTTATTTCCATGCCGTGCGTCGTAAGTTCGTTGCAAATAAAGTCTGCTGACTTCATTGAAGGAACGTTATTAAAAAGAGATGAAACATCACACGATATCGTTGACTTATTATCTACTTTCAGATCCCCAATCTTTTCAACAAATTCAAAGGTATCTTTGAGACTGTACTTAAAAATTTCTTTATGGGGAGGCTTCAAGAGTTGTGCTAACCATTTTGCGGTTGTATGACACTGAGAGTTTGTCATGTCAAGAACTGGTTAGTGTTGTGATGCCTCGGTTTTGTATAAAACATTGTTACTGATCTGAACATTTTAACGTATCATTCCCACACCGATTGCGGACAAGGTCATTTCATGTGTATACTTATTCACGTGTTTTGGATTGATTGTTATTATTTTAAAACGCTGGACGATGACCTTTTTTTGAGCAATAAACTCTTCCATCTGCCAGCTTCGGGCTTCTCCCTATTCGTCCGGGGTTACAGTCAGTGGCTCTTGCGTACTCAGTTAGCTGTCAGCTAAGTGTGCGTATTATATCGTTCGATATATATAACCATTAGCCTTCAAAAGCATAACAGTTGGAGAGAGGCATACCGTTTTTATGCAGTTTTGGTAGACCGCAAAGTCTGGGTGCAAATGTTCCTGTAGGTTTGAACATTTTGAAGGTGCTTTCGGCAATAAAACCCTGTTGTTTTATCTTTTTCAATGATTCGGTTAGATGTTTCTCGGTTTTGTCTGTTGTAAGCGACTAGTTTCTGAAATTTACTCTCATTACTAAGTAGAGCAGTCATTTTGTCTATGTAGTCCATTAAAACTATTTCTGATCCTTTATCTGGCTTAGTAATCACAGTATTTGCATTTGTTTTAAGCTTTTTCAAAGCTTCGCTGTGTTTTTTCGTCAAAATACTTCTTGTATCGATCCTACTAGTGTACTTTAGGCAGGACTCAACGAGTGTTGTCTTAGGTCTATCAACGTCTTCACTAGATGATGGTACCAAACCTTACGTCTGTGTAAACATGTTCTCAAACTGTATTTCCGTTTCAGTCTAACTAATTGTATCACGACTATCACAAAGGTTTGGTCCAAGTGATAAAACTCTTAATTGTGTTGCATCAAGATCGATACTAGAAAAATTGGGCACAAACTGATCAGGGTTAGTCGGGAATCTCATTTCTGGTGTTGGGTTTTCAAGACTTTTGATCAACTTAATACGCTTCTTTTACTTCTGTGCATTGACCACATTGGCCACATAACTCAGAAATTCCTGCTTTAAGTTTTTCGGAAGCTGTTCTACAGCGTGGAATCATTCTGTAACGTATTTTAAGATAACCCTCATGTAATTAGCTTGTATCTAGGATATGTGATGAATTTCGCACGTAGCACATGAAATTTAAAGAAATATTTAATATATTTACCAGTCCCTTTTTTTAATCATCATGCTTTGTGCTCCATTTTAAAGGTAAAGATAGGTCGAGCATATATTGATCCTGAAACGGGACAAGAGTTGAGAGGATTTCCATCTGACTCTACAGTTCTTAGTCGTGTAGTTGTAATCTATGAAACTCTTCCTGGATGGAAAACACCTACACATGGTTGTCGTGTATATGAAGAACTACCAACAGCCGCTAAATTATTTGTTGAGACAGTTGAGAAATTACTTAATATACCTATACGTTGGATTGGAACAGGTGCTTCTCGAGACTCCATTATCGTTCGATCTGTTTAGCCTAAAATCCTTACAAATAAACCAGTTGTTGACATGTTTTACTAAACTTTGTTGATCAAATTAATCATCTCTAGAGTCTTCTTTCGTTTTCACAAAGAGTTGTATTTAGATCCGGTTGTTTTTTACTCGCGAGAAATTTTTGTTTGTAATGTACTCCCTATCTCATTATATTTCACCTGTTTTTAATTCATTTTTATGCTTTCATCTTCGTAAAGATTATTATTATTGTTATTATTATTTGTCTATATGTTCCCTTTAATTTTTGATACTTTTCACTTCCTGTTTTGCCTTATAAAAGCCGAACATTATTTCTTCATGTTCTTTTGAGATTGTTGTAGGATACAATAATTAAATGTGCATGAGTTAAATTATGTACTTCCCGTTTAGTTGAATTGTTTCGCCTTTATTTATTTAAATATTCAATACAAACAAGGTTTTCTCTTATTCCATTACACCTGAAGAAGGGATGCTTCATGGCGGATGTGACAGTAGTAACTTTGTTACTTCAATTCGGCATTTAGTAAAATTACACTAACTGGAAAATAGAATCAAAGCAGAAACTGGCGATTACCATCGTTGTAACTAAGGGAGTGTAAAAAAGTGCACAAAAATTATCTGATGCTTAGTTATGAAGAGTTTTCAGGTAGCTGAGAGCAATTGTCTTTAATAATTCAATAGCTTTTTATGATGCGAAAATATTATCAGAAACAAGTTCTCTGGCCGTGTATAGCTGTGATTCAAAATTTAACGTCATACCGATATCTATAGACAGTGATCGGAAAGCAGTAAATCAATATCAACGTGGAATCTTGCATTACTGCCTGGTGGTCGAAGTTTCCATGACTCACGTAAACGTAGAGAGAAAAGACGTAGAAATAAGAAGAAACAATTGAAACTCATCGAAAGTCGTAAGACAGGAAAATTGTGGAAAACAACGGAATGTAATATATAGTGATTAAGGTGATGTGTTGCCGTTCTTAAGATCGATTTTGAGTCAGACCACTTGGAATCTCCAACCCCCATTGTTGACGGAAAAGAATTAATTTCTGTTCAGCCATATTAGAGAGGTTGAGTTTCACCTAGTTGTCACTGATACCATACTTTTCAGGTTAAATAACATGTCAACAAACACACAGATGAAATGTTTATGTTGGGTGAAGATGCAGACTCTTCTGGACACAACTGGTTTGATATGCATTTCTCACTACCCATATGTGAATTGGTAATAAGCCAAATCTGTTGTGTAAGAGCTAGTGATGCTACCTGGTTGTCTAAACCTAAGTAGGCGGAGAGGGTTTCGAACCCGTGACCCATTAGTTGGAAGTCAATTACCAGTACAACTGGTTTGTGTTGGTGATCCATGTGGTAAAAGGAAGTGAAATGGTTGAGCCTATTGACCACTCCACTTATTCAAGAAGTTAGATCAGCCCTGATGCGTTAATGACTGATGAAATCTCTGCAGATGTGAAAGATTCAACTGATTTCACTGTCTATGGCACCGGCGAGATATCTGAATGACCACTGAGAATAGAGTATACTACTCAGTAGCTCTTTCTGTGGAAAATGACCAGCAAATATAGAGAACATTCAGGTGTTCGACCACTATCTCCTTCCTAGTATACACCATGGTGTCGAAGGATCGCAACGTCAGGCTTCTTTCAATTATCAACTGCGTATTAACATAAGCTCCTTCACCGCAAGTTTGGTTTATAGCTTAGAACATAGACATATATATCGAGATGAATCATAAAAAGTGAACTGCAGCACAATGTACAATTATACCTCAAGTGCTCATACTCTTATTGATTCGAGATGGGTTGGCAAAGTAGGAAACCATGTAAAACTAATGAGGAAAAAGCAACATCAAGGAAATTTTTTCTCTGGGAATCCCTCGGTATCCAGTTTTCGTCGTGATCATAGTTGATACTGTGTGATGATGGTTAAAGGTGAAATAAGAATTTAAACTACGGTCAAGTTCGGACCACCGACCATCGGGTTTCCGTCCCGATGCCCTACCAGCAGATATGAGATCGAATCCGGCTGCGGTCCAAATTTTCATTTCACTTCCAATCATCATCACCCAGTATCAGTATTAGTCTGACAAACCACAGTTATCTTATCGAGCTCTGAAATCTGACTCCAAATTTTATATACGTGTCCAGATACACTATCGCCTATTTATAATTCCCGACACTGCTGATCCACCTGCGTCAGACAGCGTAAATATCAGGAGTTAACGCGAAGTATATATCAGGATGTTGTATTAGTCAACGAGCGAGCAAAAAGTCTTTTTCAGTACAACTAAACAAAAAATGTTCAATGAGTTGTTACATACATCAACACAATACAGTGAAATAAAATGCTACATAAGTCCCTCCCCAGAATACAGATATAAGAGGGAATATCTGTGTTCGATATAAAATATTATGAGAAAGGTAAATTCATTTTGAAGATATTAAAAACATAGAAGGAATGTTAAGGATATCTATTATCAGGATGAAAACTGATTGGAAGAGTGTTTACATAAAAATGAAGTGTATGACATTCGAAACACTAAAATAACTTTACCAAAGTAATAATATATCCGGAGATAAAAAAATTAACAACCAAAATCGTATTACCTGGAACATTGTTAAGAAATAAGAGATTCGGAAGTCCGTGGTGCCCGGAAAAAAATTTTGTTTTGTGTATGCGGAAAAGTCTGACAAAATCGTGTGGTCATGTTTTCAACAAGGTAATGAGCAAAAACGATAATAATGTTACTAGGGAATTGGTTTTATGAAATGTAAATTGTCTGAAAGTAACGTCGTGGCCAACGGACTCTTCTTCCGGATCTCGTGGTTCTGCTACCGTCGCTACTATTGGGTGATTCCGATGCCGTTGTTTCTGTTTTGACGGTGGTTTTCGGTGTTTCCGGTTGCTTCACTGCGGGTTCAGACTTGGTATCCGTGACATCTGGTTCCATAAACGCTGGTTTGATTCTATCAATGCTGACCGTTTCTCGTCTACCCGAGCGTTCGACCGTGACAACTTTGTCTGATTTACTAATTACCTTGAAAGGTCCTTCATACGGGGGCTGTAAGGGTTTTCGTACGCCGTCGTGTCGGACGAAAACGTGAGTGCAGTTTGAGATGCACTGAGGTACGTAAACTTGGTTGTCTCGGTATCGTGGGGACTGAGGTCGAAGTGTGCTCATGTGTCGCCGTAGTTGTTGTACATAGTTAGTCAAGTCCGGTGGAACGTCTGTTGCCGGGTTAAAATACTCTCCTGGCAATCTTAAAGTAGTTCCATAAACTAACTCAGCAGTACAGCAGCCAATGTCCTGCTTGACACTCGAACGTATACCAAGGAGTACTAGTGGTAATTTGTCACTCCACTTGTCATCAGTCTTTACTGCCATCAGTGCTGCTTTTAGTTGTCGATGGAACCTTTCGACAATACCATTGGATGCAGGATGGTACGCAGTGGTTCTTATGCGCTTGATCCCGAGAAGTTCAGTTAACTGTTGAAATAGACTACTCTCGAACTGCGCACCTCTATCTGTGGTGATGACACTTGGGACACCAAAGTTAGAAATCCAGTGTTGGATGATATTTCTCGCTACTGTTTCGGCAGATATATCCTGCAGAGGTATTGCCACTGGCCATCTCGTGAATCGGTCTACACATGTTAAAATGTAGCTAAAACCATTTGACGGAGGTAGTGGTCCAACGATGTCAACGTGTATATGGTCAAATCTGCCATCCGGTGGGAAAATCTTCCCGTAGGTGAAAGAATATGTCTTTGCACTTTCGATCGCTGGCACGCTAAACAAGCTCTGGACCACTGTCGAAGATCTCGATTCATCTTTGGCCAGACGTATCGGTCAGTAATTAACTTCACCGTAGCTCGAATACCAGGATGTGAAATGCCATGCATCTTAGAGAAGACTAATCGTCTCATTGATAACGGCACAAACGGGCGCGGTTTACCCTTGGATACATCACAGGTGATGGATACAGAGTCATCAAGTGTCACTTCTTCAAGACGTAATGAGGTGTTCACATTGTTTTTCAAATGTTTCAAGTCCTCATCCGTGGCCTGCAACTTTGCCATTTCTGCTAGGTCAATACGGTCACGTTCTAAGACGTTTACGTACATACGAGACAAAGCATCAGCTGCCTCATTTTTGCTGCCTTTGATATACCTTATATCTGAAGTGAATTGTGAAATAAATTCTAAATGTCGAATTTCTCGGGGCGAGTAGTTGTCATGCTTTGCATCAATTGCTTTTGTGAGTGGCTTATGGTCGGTGAATACTATAAATGAGTACCCTTCGAGCATATATCTGAAGTGCTTGATAGCCAAGTAAATCGCCAGTAGCTCTCTGCCGAATGTACTGTATCGCGATTGAGAAGCATTAAGTCGTTTCGAGAAGAAAGATAATGGTTCCCACTGACCGTGAACAAACTGTTGTAGTACTGCGCCTACCGCAACATTTGAAGCGTCTGTCATGATGGCTAGTGGTGCTTCTGAATCACGACGAGAGAGAAGAGTTTCAGAACTTAGAGCCAGCTTCAGTTTGTCAAAAGCATCATGGGCCGCTTGGGTCATGTGAAACACTTTGGCTCGTCCTTGCAATAAATCTGTCAGCGGTTGGGCTACTTCAGCACATTTAGGTATGAAACGTCGATAGAAGTTTATTAACCCCAGAAATCTTCGCAGCTTTCGAAACGAGTCTGGAACAGGATATTCTCGAATTGCATCTACTTCTTGCGGAACCGGTTTAACACCGTTGGCATTAACAATGTGACCCAAAAACTGTAGGGATTCCTTGCCAAATTCGCATTTCTGCGGATTGATTGTAATGCCATATTCACGCAGTCGTTCGAAAAGCGTCCTCAGATGTTGCAGGTGCTCTGTTTCAGATGCGCTAGCTACTATTAAGTCATCTATGTATGCACTGACGAAAGGTAAGCCATGGAGTACCTGATCTATAAATCTTTGGAATGTTTGAGCAG